TTAAACCCAATATCTCCCAGTAGTTCACTAATAATGTACAGCACTTAATAGCGTATCATAGTTTTCATATTACATTTTCTTCCTAAATGTGTCTTCACCATATTTCTCAGACAGTTATACACAAAAATGGTTAATAGTTCATTTAAAAGTGCACTGTGTAATTTTTCTGGTTTAGTGTTCACCACCTGCTTCTCTCCATGAAGAGGCTTTTGCTTTACCTGGAATGTTCCACCTCATAGCGTTCAGGATTTAGCACTGATTTCATTTGATAACAATAAATTACTTCTATCTGAACAAACTGTTTTGAATCTGAGCTTTGTTTATTTTTATGGAAAGTCTGTACGTCTGCAGATTTTGTGGTCTTACCTGGAAATGCAGGCAGTGTTCTTTAACCCAATATCTCCAAATAGTTCACAAAACATTTATTTAGCCAATTATTGTTGACTTTTTGCGCTGTTGTTTCCCAAAGAGGACTTAGGGTTGAAGTAAGTGGGACAAAATCTCGTGCCACAAGATCTCGTGAGACAAAATTGCCACAAGTTTGTGCACACACGAGAAAAATGATCTTGTGAGATTTATTTCCCCCGAATTTACCTTTTAAATTAGATTTAAAAAGAGTTAAGAGCTGGGGAGATATACAATTTGAGAAGCTGTAGTTCCAAAAAGCAGGCAGTATTACAATGAGTAAAAAAATATTACATAAAATAAATAAAAATAGTGAAGCCAAATGAAATGAGTGAAATGGATTGCAGTACTTAGTACAATTTATGTCAAATTCTCATCTTGTCTCGTTCTCATGGACCCAGTCTTGTGGTGTGTCTCGTCTTGTGAAAACTGTGTCTATTCACCCCTAATGTATTGTAATTAATAGGTTATCATAGTTTTCATATATATTTTCGTATATATTGCATTCATCATAGTATTTCTCAAGACAGCTGCAGCCAAAATATAGTTAAAAGTTCAAAGTGCAACTGGATTTTTTCTGGAATATTCCACCCTTATAGCATTAAGCGTACTTATTTAGCCTTGATTTAATTTCATGATTATAACTATCTTTCTTAAATCAGGACAAATCCACTCTGGGCTGTTTACTTTGCCTGGAAAGTCACTACTATGCAGTTCACGTGGTCGTACCTGGAAATGTGCGCAGTGTTGTTTTAATATAAACAAATAGTTCCTAATGACTCACTGGTCAAAGGAGCTCATCCTAGTGTGTATTTCCTATGGTCAGGTGTAAGCAAAATATTTACTTGGTAGTTAATTTAAAAGCATGCTGTGTAGCTTTTCTGTTGATTGTCTCCATGGAGATATGCCAGGAATTATTTTATTTAAATTTTTTTACACTATGGCACAATTTAGCTTGTTTTTCATTGAACCATATTGAATCGATGTGAAATATATCATATCGAATCGTATTGAATCAAAAGTATTGAAAAACATATCATATTGTGGCCTATGTATCGTATCGACACTGTCTTAATTAATTTATTACCTACATTAAACATATTTTTAGCGTTAATTTAACTAAATACCTACTTTTTCTGTGCTTGTGGTACCGCCTGCCTGTCTCTTTGGTGCTAGATAAGTTTAATGCCATATTGTGGAACATTCCAGGAAAAGCAACAACTGTAGAGACTCAGTCAAGTCTAGAAAAATTAAGCAATGTGTCTTTTACAATCTTTTCACTACCAAGAGATGAAATGCCAAGTATTCTTTTTAAATGCATATTAGGTTTGGTAATATTTGAAGTTGTCATAGTAAAAAATATCCATAATGGCCTTTTGGTTATTAAAAGTCAAAATGATCATAGACTTGACTGATAATGTTTGTGTGCTTAGTGTTTTTTGTGTGTTTTTGTGTGTGTGTGTTTGTGTGTGTGTGTGTGTGTTTTGTGTGTGATGAGCAGGCCCGTGGACAGAAATTTGGGAACCTGGGGCAAGAGGACTTACACAGGCCCCTCTTTAATATGAATTAATAGGAAGAAGATCCAGTTGTGGGCCCCTAAAACACAGGGACCCGGAACAACAGACCCTTTTGTTTTCCCCCGTCTGCTGCCCTGGTGATATGAGTGAGGAGAGAGGGATTTTGTTTAGTTTTTTTTCCTTATGTAGAATTTTAAAATTGAAGAAAAAGAAATGCAAAACTTGGAAATGGCTGACAGAATTGAAATTGACAAAAAAAGTCAGAATGATCATTGAAAGATTCATTTTACATACATCAAAATTCAAACAAAAAACTGCTCTGTGAACTAACTCAAATCTAATCGCAATCATACAGATTTTCTCTTAAATGTGCATTGTGTAACTTTTCAGGGGGGGGTCCATCAGATGCTTTTCTCCATGTAGATTACATTGTCTGGAATGTTTCACAGTATGGTATAAAACCAGACCAAGTTACAGGTCAGATCTGTGGTGAGGTGACCCCTCTCACAGACAGAATGCCTGTTTTTGTAGGTATTTTTGAGCCATAAAACCACCTGTAATTTAATAAATGTAAAGAGCTGTTTAATGTTCGTACTGTGGAACTTTGACACATTAATGGAAAGAAGCAGGTGACAGACCCTCCAACAGAAAGGTTACACAATGCACCTTTTAGTTATATTGTTGCCTATTGAAAGTCAAAGATTCAATTCAACTGCATCAAAAGTTAATTGCAACTCGGACTTGTTTCAAACTGTGCGCTGTGAACTGACACTTACTTTTAAAACATACATTGCAAATATAACCTTAATTGCGATAATACAGATTCTCTCTTCACCTTCACAAGGCTGAGTCTGTGGTTTTCTTGCTTTTCTCTCTGACAGTGAAAGCGTGAATGGTGCTAAGACATGAATTCCTCACATACTACTGTACAGCCTGTTTTCCCGTTACATAACACTCACAGCTGTTTAGACCTGCACATTTTATGCCTTAAATGTCGCCTTCGGTTACGTTTTAGTTTAATTTGATGCACATTTAGGTGAAGCTAATTCGGCTTCTGCACAGACTTCTCTTCAGCAGCTCATCTTGGGTTTGAAAATGAAGATAAATTCTGAAGTTCTGTTCTAATCACTAGCTTCGCTATAATGGTTTGACAAGGAATGTTCCACAGTATAGCATTAAACTTGTCACCTGCTTGTCTCCATTGAAGTGAGATGATACCAGGTCAAGTTAGAGGTCAGATTTGTGGAGAGGCTCCTTCATTTATTTAAGAATGTGTTTTTTTTATTTTTGAGCAGGTGAAATAATTTAATTGAATAAATGCAAAATATACAAGTTAAAAATCCCGAACTGTGGAACATTCTAGACAAAGCAGTATGAGCTCCATGGAGACAAACCAGTGACAGACCCTACACTATAAAAGTTATATTGCTATATTTTATTTTTAATGTACATATACATTTATATAATTATCCCTTTTTTGACCTTAGTCTCTTGCTATTTCTTCTACTTATTTAGAATTTATTATACAATTTATTATACAATTTCTCTTTGTTAGTATAATATGCTATAAGCTCCTGGGTCCAAATAATTTCCCTTGTGGATGGATTTTAAGTTTAAGTTGTAACTTTAGGGATGCACAGACATAATAATGGCATCAGATAGTGGTGCCAACGTTGACATTTTTGGTGGATTGCATCGGCTTCCAAAATACTTTCAAATGTAATATTGAAATATAACACTTGGATTTTTACAAAACTGTTGTACACATTTTTATTTTTTTTACCTTAATGCAGTTTGTGTTTAAAGGAAATAAATGCTGTTTTCATCTCTGCACTAGTATCTGTCTTTAAAGTCTGCCGATATCTACAAATTATCAACATCAATATCAGAACAGAAAAAGCTGGCCTGGTACATCCGTATGCAACTTTAAAATCTAAAAAAAAAAAAATAAAATAATATATATATATATATATATATATATATATATATATATATATATATATAAATAAATAAAATGAAATAGTTACATTTATTGATTACGATTTGAAATGTATTCAGGATTCTGTTTGCAATGCATGTTTTCAAACATTTGAGAGAAGATGGAAATATGAAGTAATAAACAAGTACAAGAAGCTTATGGGCACATTTCAGAAGCTCTGAAATGAAGATTGGACATTCCAGTTATAAGCAGTCATCATTTTCTTTCTCTCATCTCGAATATTTCTTGTGGTTTATTAGTTTTTGAGTTTGATAGGATTGTTTTGCATAGCGCAGTCTTTGTTTTATACAGGTTGGCAGGTTTCCCTTGTAGTAAGTGGAAAGATTGGAATTTTATCTGAGTTTCTAGGTAGAGCTGTGCAGATAACAACACAAGTGAGAGTGGCTACGTATTTACACCTTTCACCACAAGTTTTACTCTAACTATGGAAAAATTCATTACAAAGCATGTCATTAATAATAATTTTGACTCTTTTGTATTTGAAGTTGTGATTGAAAGCGTTCATATTTGAAACAAAATTTGGAAAGTGCATCCTGTATTTTGGGTTGTTTTTTTTCAAAGGCCCGTATTATGCTGTTTTCTGGTCTATGCTATAATGTTTCCTCATCACAAACATACCTGGAGTTGTTTAGCATACAAACCCTTCATATTTAGGTGTGAAGTGAGTTCTTCTTTCAAACAGAAAACACCCTGTGATTTCATGTCAATACAAGAAATGCTCCACCTTGTTTTTAAACTCCATACACACCTTCACTAGAATCATTTGGACTATTTCTGATCTGGAATTGCCAGTCTCTACTGAACCAAAGTTAAAAGGTTGCTGCTAAATTGAAAACATGAAAGGGTTACTGAAACATGTGTGAATGAAACAAAACACAACTCTGGGTATGGTTTTGATAAGGGAACAAGATTCTAACATGGCTTAAAGCTCACAAGTCAATTTTGCATGATGTAGGACCTTTAAAAAGTTAATGTTTGTTATCCATCTGCAGCATTGCAACTTTTATTCTGTGCCTTGGTTGACCTTTATTTGTTCCTGTCCCTCCATTGACCCTGCCTTTGCTGTGTTCTGTCCCCAGTGAAGGGCTCTCGTCCGGGGAAGAACGTGCAACTGACAGAGGGGGAGATCCGTGGACTCTGCCTCAAATCTCGAGAGATCTTCCTGAGCCAGCCCATCCTCCTGGAGCTCGAAGCCCCACTCAAAATCTGTGGTGAGTACAATAAGCTCTCTGCTTTTTATTATTAACTTTATTACAGTGGACTTACTAGCTGGTGAAGGGCCCTATTGGTGTAATAAATGTAACAGATTATCTCAGTTGCGTGACTTATTCATCAAACGTTTACATTATACTGTGAAACTGAAATTTATAAAAAGAACTCTGTGTAACAATTGAACTGCTAATGTATTCTTAATTATAAAAACATTGGATGTGATGATCTACTTTGTCATGAGTCAGTGCTAGTGCAGCCTCTGCAGCTCAGGGAGGGAATTCTGGAGGTTCTGAGCTTTCACATGAGGCCTGTCCAAAACGTGTTTGTGTCTTTGAGAAATGTAAATAGAGAGATCTTTGCTTTGTCTCAGTGCCGATTTGGTAATCACTGTTATAAGAACTTTTGAATTTTAATTCTTTGGTTTTTGACAGAAGCAAAGGACTGCCAAGGCATTTTAACAGGGAAATGTAGCATATTCCGTTCCTCCACAAAGTATCGCAATAAATATTGTAACGTGAGATGCATATCATGAAACTATCATATTGAGAGATTTGGATATCGTTACATCGCTAGTTTCCCCTCTCTGCAGGTTAAGGCACTGGCAACCAAGGTTTACTTGTTATTGTAATGCCGTTTTTAAAACCATGAGTGCACAGGCTACATACAGATCCTTTTGTAGTTGAATGATGTAATATTTCTGGTGAGGGGTCTGCCATATGCTTGTCTACATGGATACATTACTGCTTTCACTACAAAGCTCCACAGTATGGCATTAAATTAAACAACCATGTACCACCACAAAGCAAAATAGACATGCAAAGCATCTCTCTTCCATGGAGACAAGTGGTGTTGTAGTGCTAGCTTACCTTCCCTCAGTTACAGGTGTTTTGTTGCTAAAAAATTTTCTTGAAAAACATGCATTCATATAGTGAGCCAAAGGAATATAATATTTAAACCATGGTTAGTGATAAGATTATATTGTAAGACAGATAATAGCTGCTGTTGTCTACTGAACCCTTTACTCTGCTGCCCTCTTTTATATATCTCATTATAGATTAAATATATGTAAAACGTGAATATGAGCCACACTATTTTAAACTCTTTATTTTATAACCAAACAACTATGGGAAAAACTAAATAAATTATTATTATATATTAAAGTATATTATATACTAAATTGTTCAGTAAAGATTGGCAGTTCCAGGGCTGAAATTATTCAAATGATTCTAGTGAAGGTGTATGAAGTTTAGAAACACAGCGGTGCACTTTCTGTATTACCACATGACATCACAAGGTGGAACAGAGTGTTTTCATCTTGAGAGAAGCCTAAATACACAGGGTTTGTGTGTTAAACATGTGTGAATGAAACAAAACACAACTCCATGTACGTTTGTGATGAGGAAACAACATTATAACATAGATCAGAAAATATATGTATCCTTTAAGTGAGACCAAATTTGCTGAAAGTTTTCTATTATACTGACCCCTTCTCTCTGCTGCTCCCTGTAGGTGATGTCCACGGTCAGTACTATGACCTGCTGAGGCTCTTTGAGTATGGAGGTTTTCCCCCTGAGAGTAACTACCTGTTTCTTGGCGACTACGTGGACCGAGGGAAGCAATCTCTGGAGACCATCTGCCTCCTACTGGCCTACAAAATCAAATACCCCGAAAACTTCTTCCTGCTGAGAGGAAATCACGAGTGCGCCTCCATCAACCGCATCTATGGCTTCTACGATGAGTGTGAGTGAAAATACTGTTAAAACATACAATGAGTGAGAGTGAAAATACTGTTAAAACATACAGGGACCACCAAAACAAGCAAGATCTCATTCTTTTTGTGCTTTACTGTAAGTGTTAAGTTTATTTAACAGAGACAAACATATTAAAAGTTGAATTTTACAATAATTTCTAAACAGTTTGCAGTGGTTCAAAGTCATTCCTCACTTACCTTATTAATTCAGAGCATTCTAATTATTCACTGCTATTTTATATATGTTTATATGTGCTCTGTACAACAGTGTTGCAGTTGCATGCAGTGTTTTGCTGCTGTTTAACGCTAACAGCGAGTATTTCAACTGCACTTCCTGGTTAGTAGGCAATAAAACTCTTCAGAATTGGATATAGACCAATATATCTGTAAAGGGGCAAGACACTTTTTTTTTTTTTTGCTCATGCTATTATTTTGTTGGCATCGACTTAAAGAGATCAACAACAAACTCTGAAAATTAACATAAATACATACATATCTCTGATTATTTGCCTTGTCTTTGCTGCATGAACAAAAGGAACAGGAAGAAGATAAATCTTATAAACCCTGCTCCTTTCACAGATCAAAAATTAAACATTTCTTTAATAATCGTTCCCCTCCCCAAAAACCAAACCAAGTCACCAGTCAATAAACCATATGTATGTTACAATATCTCTCGTACTTTCATTAACTTTAAACGTTTTCCTTAGACACATAGTCCCTCATTATTTTATCCTTATCATTTTGCAATAATACTTGGGGAAAAAATAGTACAGGGCCTTTAATCTCATGGAATAGATGCTTCAGTTTACACCAGATTTAGATAGAGCTAGTTGACAGACTTTTAATACAATGCAATGTATGTGTGACTACTAAACATGATACATTTTTGGAGCAGCATTAGCTCAGTTGTTAAAGATATTTGAAGAAATTTTAAGAAATTTGCCCAATAACCTCAAGGTTAGCAGTTACCAACATATCATGTTTTTGTGTCCTTGGGCAAGTTGTGTAACCCACCTTCACTGTGAGTCAATATTTTTAAGACTAAAGGCTAAATTCTGGACAAAAACACAAAGGAACAACATTCCAAACAATTTGTATGCATTTGCAAACAGGAATACTCCCATCCAGCTTTCTTTGTTCCGATACCTATTTCGTTGGCTTTAAGTGTCTGCCGAGACTCGATATCAACCAATACTAGGGTAGAGATGAAAATTTTATTTCCTTAATACAAATGGCTTATAGTAAAAATTATCCAAATGTGTTTGGTAGTTGTTATTTATCATTAAAAGTAAAACAGCTTTGGAAAAAATACTAGTTCAGTATTACAAGGTGTTTTGGCCAATATTGGCAAGTAAATTGTCTAATTACACAAGTTTATTGACCAGAATGGGATATCAGCTAAACCATGTCCAATCCACAGAATTTTTCAATATTGGCGCTGATATCCAGTACCTGTATTGTATCTGTGCCTCCCGTGTTGCAAGCAGCATGTCTTGCTCGATGCTGTAACTCCTCTATATGAAATATATTGAAATAAACATTATTTTATGCATTGTAAATGACTTTGTTGGTATTTTTTTTCAGGTAAGAGGCGGTACAATATAAAGCTGTGGAAGACCTTCACGGACTGTTTCAACTGTTTACCTGTGGCGGCCATCGTGGACGAGAAGATCTTCTGCTGTCACGGAGGTCAGCCCTGATGCTAAACTGCACTATACAGAGTTTCTTTACAACTGAAATAACTTTCAATCACAAATGAATGACTCACATATGAAGATGACTCACAATGTACTACTGTTTATGTAACTTTGCTGAATTTGTTCACTTAATGAGAAAAAATGCACCAGACTGTTTCTGACTGAAAATAGAGATGCAATGATCCAAGTCTCATGGTACAGCAATAATAGCAACTCGTCTCATAGTTGGATAATTATTGTGAAGTGACAATTGTAGAAATGGTCCTTTGTGTAAAAATGCCCTGCTCAACCTTCAGTATCAAATTGTCATATTCCCTGTAGTTTCTTTATGTTGACTATCCAAACTACTGTACTCTCTAAACTACTTTTCACTGTGTATTCTGTCAGTTTTTTTAGTGTACCACTGCAAATACTATAATATTTAGGCAAAGGAGGAGGCTATTTTGAATGTTTTGACAGCCCACCATTAAAGTTAGAATATAATACAAAAAATGCAGGTATTGTGAGACCCATGCTCCCAAAATGTTTTTTCTTCATCATTAGTTTAATCAAAGTTGCATATTGATAGATTTTTGCATGTTTGAGTAAGATTGTATTGCCCTGCATTTGAGGCCTCAGTGCTCATCACCTTGTGATGTGGTAATACAGGAAGAGCTCCACTTTTGTTTTTAACCCCATACACCTTCACTAGAATGATCTGGATGATTTCAGCCCTGGAATTACCATTCTCTACTGAACTGATGGTAAAAGGTAGCTGTTAGTCTGAAAACTACCATTACATGACATCATAAGGTGGGACAGAACATTATGAACTTTGAGTAATCCTTTATTAAGGATTTATTGCACAGGTGTATTATATCTCAAAAATACCATTAAAACATAAATTCTTACCAAGTTTATATCCATACTGTAGAATAATTAAGTTAAAAGAGTAATATTTCCATGGAAATAAGCAGGTTACACAGTGCACCTATAAAGCTCACTAGAATCAGTTTTGTGTAATATAGGATCTTTTAATAACAAAAAAAAATCATCTTGTGTCTCTTATTTTAACCCTCTCTCTCTCTGTGCCCAGGCCTGTCTCCGGACCTGCAATCAATGGAGCAGATTCGCAGAGTGATGAGGCCCACAGATGTGCCGGACCAGGGCCTGCTGTGTGACCTGCTCTGGGCCGACCCCGATAAGGACGTGCTCGGGTGGGGAGAGAACGATCGTGGTGTCTCCTTCACCTTTGGAGCAGACGTCGTGGCGAAGTTTCTGCACAAACACGACATGGATCTAATATGCAGGGCGCACCAGGTATGAGCCAGGATAGAGTACAAAATCACAGTTTGAATGGTCAGAAACAGGTCTGCATTGCCTAGGATTCAGAATTGATACTTTGCATCTGATTTCATCAATATTCTCTGGGGGTGTGATGGTTACTGTAGGCACTGCTCTGTCAGAGGCTCTATTAGACTTTAATCTGAGCTTTATTTGAACACAATCTGACCAGAGACTTGACTAAAACAGGCGAGATGATTTGTCTCTCACACATTTCAGTTAGTCACTCTCACCTTTTTTAGTTGAAAATCAAACACCTAAGCAGGACCATGAACGCTCATATTGATCACAAGCTCCAGAAAATGTGCTTTAGTATCTTTTCTTGAATTTTCGGATTATCTTACTGTGTTTGCTAATGTACACATTGAGTGTCTGAGATAACTGCTGAACGTTTCACCACAGAGATACATGTAGAACACCCATAGCATGATGTCACCATAGAGGATCAATATACACTTATACTTAATGAACATGTGAGTCTGGGCAGAGAGTGGTGACCAGACTGATATCCCTCTGTAGAAAATACAGAGTCAGCTCTTTTCAGGCCTGTCCAATCAATCGATCGATCAATATAACTTTGTTTGTCCTTGAAGGGTAATTCAAGCATATGGAGCAGTTAAAATACAATAATGGCTCAAAGTCTTGGTGCAGTGTAACAGAAAGACTGCTTGTGATGTTTGGTATCTTCAAAAACATGAATAAAACAGAACTAGTTCATTTTAAACCGTTTTCTGTGGTCCAAAGTTATTCCTCACTTACCTTATGCGTTCTTAGCATCTTATTCACCTCAATGAGGTTATAAGTGCGTTTCGGAGCTGAGTAATGTTAACAGTAATAATATAATACTGCAGTAATACAACAACTACCATGCTAGCAGTGCACCACCAGTGCTTCCTGGTTCGTGGAGGATAAATACAAACATTATTTTAAATGCAGACGGCACGTAATGGTCTCATTTTAACCCCAAGAGCTACTTCTTGGGCTAAACAAGTTCTACTTTGATACATGAAAAAATCAAGTATAGCCTCTTTAACCTTTATTTTTTTCTCCTTCATCCCAGACCTCAATAGGTTCCAAAGCTAACAATAATTTTTATTAAAAATAAAAAAACATTAAATTACTAAAATTCAAATTAATTCAAATAAAGACTACCCGTTTATTTCTGTTCAGTTTGTAATATTGTAGTATTTATTTGTGTACTTTGTAACATGTCAGTGACATCCACCCGCAACTCCCTGTTCACTGTCTTATCTTTAAATATTTATTCATTTTAGCACGACTCAGCAAAAAACCCACAGAGATAAAATTGGACAGGAAGTGGTGATGCTAACAGCGAGGATCTTGGGCGCTATTGTGCACAGAGCTTGTACTTGCAATTAGGGTTGTACCGATACCAATACTGGTAATGGCAAAAGCTTCGATACTGCATATTTTTCAGGTATCGGTATTGGCAAATACTCAGGCCACATCACAGATCCAACAACACTCTTTATTTTCATGGAGGGCCCTAGATGCGAGCAGCCTCTGTTGAAGTCTGCAGCTAATGCTACTGCTAACGCTCAAGATCAGGTTAAATACAGAGTGTGGAGGTTCTGCAGACACTTTAAACACACTAATAATGACAGAAAACTTTGATACCTCCATTTAGCCTTTGGTGTGGACGCAGAACTTGGTAAAATAACTAAAGCTACGACCTACACTATGGAAAGTGTAGCCTGACAACAGAGCTAACACTGTCATCCTTGGAGAATATGGCTAATTATGCAGAGTAAACAAAGTCAGTCTTTTTACAGGCCTCACAGTTGTTTTAATCTATGCTGTGGTAAATTGACAATGTGGAAAAGTAAAAATACTTAAATCAGCGAAACGTGTACATATATATTTGACTCTTAACACATTCTCACACACACTGAAATACATTCTTGTAGATTTTCTTTAGAGATAGCCTTTTAGTAGATGTATTCTTTGCTCTTGAGTAGCCTTAGTCTACTTCTTCACACTGTGGTATTGGCCTGGTATCAGTATCGGCAAGTACAATAATACCCAGTATCGGTATCTGATCGGAATAAAAAATAAATAAAAATGGTATTGGAACTACTCTACCTACAAATATAGCCTGATTTCAGCAGGGTGCTTAAATAATTACTGAAAGTTGTAATATTTCCTGTTTGTGTTCAGGTGGTAGAAGACGGTTATGAGTTTTTCGCAAAGAGGCAGCTGGTCACTTTGTTCTCGGCTCCAAACTACTGCGGCGAATTCGATAACGCCGGCGCCATGATGAGCGTGGACGAAACGCTCATGTGCTCCTTCCAGGTAAAAACACAGAGAAATACTGCTAGTTTTTATATTAGTTTATTTTATTAGTTTTGTAAGATATTAGAAAACTATGCAAAACTACATGTCTGTTTTTATGATTTCTTACAGAATTTGAAGAATAGATGAATGTATTTTGTGTTGAAAGGTGCATTGTGTAACTTATTCTGGTGGAGGGTCCATCACTTTCTTGTTTCTATGGATATGTCATTGCTCTGCCTGGAATGTTCCACAGTATGACATTAAAGTCTGCCTATCTACCTTATATCATTTACAGGTGGTTTTGTAGCTCAAAAATACCTAGAAAAACAGGCCTCTCAAAAATCTGACGTGTAACTTGGTCAGGTTTGGTCTCCAAGACGACAGAAAGGTTTAATACCATACTGTGAAACATTCCAGATGAGCAAGAACATCTCTATGGATAAAGTATTTGACAGACCATCCACTCAAAAAGTTACACAATACACATTAAACATACTCATTAAAACTCATTCTTGTTTGTGTTAATGAAAGTAAAATTCAAAGCTTCATTTATTTCACTTTTTGTAATAAAATCCATCAATACAAGGAGGGTAAAAATCATATATATTTTTTTCTATTTCGTCCCCTATTTCAACATATAATAGACACAGCTGGTACTTTTCAATTAGGAACACACTTTTCTTTGACTTCTTATGCAAAAATTTAGCTAAAACAAGGACAAAAGAAAAGGATTAAATTTAAAATCTCAAGGCTAAAATACTTCAACAAGTAAGCATTAAACATTTTTTTTCTCTTTGTTAGCTGGTAGTCTTTAGGATTGCCATATATTACAGTAACAGCAGTTGAGTTTCCCTGTTCTTTAAGGTCATATAGACCGGTCACATGTCGTTGTAAGTGCCTCATGTGATTGTCGGTGGAGGTTATCTGTCCAGATCATGTGATTCTGAACGTTAACAGCATTTGCCACCTGAAAAAACATTTGTTCATTTAATGCAAATGTCAAAGTTTAACACACAGGGACCTTGTGCTGTAAAAAAAAAAAAAAACAACTTCTACTTCCTACTAACCATTATTTTTATAGTCAACTAGTGGAAACCATTATTTAAAGGGCCCATAGGAGATGTAGACAGACTAATAATAAAGGGTTGCCCAGGATTACTGTGTGTGGATGAAACAAAACACAACTCCAGGTATGTTTTTGAGGAGGTTACAACATTATAACTTGTCTTATATAAGTACATTTTGCATAATATAGGGCCTCTAAACTGTTTTTTATCAAGTAAAGGTTGAAATATGGGGACTGAATACTTCTAGATACAGAACATTTATAAAGTGATTTTTATTCAAATCTGAAATAGTTTATTCTATTTTGAAATGTAGATTTAATAAGGCTGTTGTAAGATCATCTTTATAGTCAACTAACCACAATTATACAGCCCTGTGCTCTACATATCACATTGGCATAAAAGGCCCATATTACACTATTTTCTGATGTGTTATAATGTTGTTTCGTCATCACAAGCATGTCTGGAGTTTTGTTTTGTTTCATTCACACGTGTCCATACACCTTCCATAGAGTCTATTTATACTAAACAAAAGCTGGCTGTTGACTTGAAAACTACAGCTTTATGACATCACACGGTGTAACTTTGGAGGTGTAGGTAGACTATTAATGAAAGGGTGCTCAAACATGTGTGAACAAAACAAAACACAACTTCAGGTATGTTTTTGAGGAGGTAAAAACATTATAAAATTAATAGTACATCGTGTACCTTTTCTGGAACAGGGTCCATGATATGCCTTTTTCCATGGAGATGTTATTACGTTGTCTGGAATGTTTCACAGTATGGCATTAAACCATTTTATCTTCATGGAGACCACACCAGAACAAGTTACAGGTCAGATCTGTGGAGAGGCAACCCCGCTCACAGTCAGAATGCCTGTATTTCAGTATTTCTGAGCTATAAAGCCACCTGTAATTAAATAGATGTAAGGTAGAGATGTTTTAAAGTCATACTGTGGAACATTCCAGGCAGAGCAATGACACATTCACAGAAACAAGCAGGTGACAGACCTCCAACCAAAAAGTTACACAGTGCCCCTTTAAAGCTCACAAGAGTCAGTTTTGTTTAATATATGACGTTTTCGATTCAAATGAATTTGTCCTGACTGTTGTTGTCTAAACTTCAGTGATTTAACTCCAGTATCTTCTGTCAGCTGCTGTCACAAGATGATGTGTGATCTTTTAGAGTTATCACCACTTTGGGCTAAACAGCTCTGAGTCCAGTCCAATATTTCAGCTAAAGCATCATTTCCTGTTTGTGTTTTTTGCGCACTGACATTTGAAGCCAACACCAATAAAACACCTGTGCTGTGGTGCTAATGAAGAGTGGCCAGTGATCCACAATGATTAAAAATAACTGATAATATTGAGCATTTCTCAAAAGTCACAAACAAAAATACAATTATTTCTTTCAGTTAGTGACTCAAACTCATAGCCAACACTACTGACTCCTTTCTGTTGGTCTTTCCACATACTTCCACATAGGATTTTTACATATTTTTTTTATTTAAGTAGAAGTCTTATACTGTCTAGCAGTTGTTTTCTTGAAGCATAAACAAACTTACCAGATCCCCCTCGTCTCAGACTGCTATCCCCACAAATGCATCACATTATAAACATAATTATTAACAAGCATTTCTTCAGGCAAATAAACAGAAAATATGTGTTTTATGTTCCTGTACCCATTTTCAACATTCTATTTGGGATTATTGTCATTCTGCACAAACTATTACTTTGACATGATCACCTGACAAGTCCTCTCACCAGATTTAGACCCAATGATAAAACAGATGCTTGCTAATATGACCGAATTAATTATATTGTATTTTGTAGAAGTCAAAGGTATATTGCGTGAGTGTTTTGAGCGTATCAGCTTGTGTTAGGGGTGTGCAAAAATAAAAAAATATTGTTAAATCACTACACAAAATTTGGTGAGAGTTATCTTGGGCTACAGTATGGGTATGGGTATCTTTTAAGGATTTTTTCCAGTTTTGTTGCTTATTTAGTTGAAGGAATCTTGTTTATTCAATACACTTGTTGAAATATTCACAGTTTGATGATAAAAATAGATGTATTTCATATTAACTTTGCACAAGTAGTGGTTTAAGAAAGAAATATTGTGACTAAAATGTATGTGGCTCTTTATACAGTTATGTTATATATTATACAAATATACAGTACAGATATCGTATCGTGAGCCATGTATTGTATCAAATCATGAGGGACTCTGTGATTCCCAGCCCTAGCTTGTGTGGAGCTATTTTTTTACTATTGCTTCTTTTAAAAAAATAGATTAACATTTGGTAAATCAATGTAGCATCTATGTCTTTGCTTTTGCCCATTTAAGTAAACTATTCTCTGTTTCTCCCTCAGATTTTGAAGCCAGCCGACAAAAAGCTGTACCCCTACGGAGGAGGGGGCGGTCTGGGCTCCGGTCGACCTGTTACCCCCCCACGAAATTCAGCCAAGGCCGCCAAGGCTAAGAAATAACACCCACTGTCTGCACCGCCACAGCGCACCCTAGCTGTCCTGATCCAACATTACACCCTCCTCTCTCTGGCCGCGTCTCATTCTTCTCTCCTCACATCCTTCTCCTTGATTCCTCTCCTCGAGTCTCCATTTTTCAGCTGTGAATCAGATGTGTCATATTAAGTGGTGCCCCAAATAAAACCACGGAAGGAAGGAGTAAACATGTGGGAGGCTTCAGGATGAACACATCAGAGAAAAGAATCAAAACTTTATCGGTCTCAGTGAAGAGTTTATATCCTCTCTCCTCGCTGTGTCTCCTCTGTGGGCGGGACTCCCTCACTCATTTCCTGCAGAATCGAGGAGAGGAATCAAGGAGAAGGAAACAAGGGAAGAGAATTGAGATGCGGCATTTCTTTCTCTCTTTTTCTCTCTCTTTCTCTCTCTTTCCTCTACCTCCCAGCCTCCCTCCTTCAGCAACAGATGCGTGATAAACCAGGGTTCAATCGTGATTCTTCTGGATAGGACTATTTTTAAACTAATGTTGCTGTTTTTTGAGTTTTTCGGCGTGAGTGCGTGTACAAAGCGAAATTGCTGTATTGTATGTTTGTGTAACTTTTTCTTGTTTTTGTTTAAAGGCATTGACCAGTGTTTTGCCAGAGAAGGTCACATTTAATATGAAAAAAATTGATGATTTATTTGTAAGCAGTTGTTAGTATATTAAATTGGAGAAGCAGACAGGTACTACTACTACCACTTTTACTTCTCCTTCTTGGGTTTTGTCTAACAGATTAATTGTTAAGAATGATTTAATCTGGGGTCATATTTGTTGTGACTAGTCTATCATTTTATATTACAATGGTTACAATATATACTGACCCCTTGTGGTTGGAATTGGCATTTTGGGCTCATTCAGAACTCTTAGAATAAAATCATTTCTTCCTTTTTAATGGTTCATTTTGTAACTTTTTTAGAGGGTCTGTCGCTTGCTTGTGTCCATGGAGATGTCCTTGCTTTGCCTGGAAAGTTCCATTTTAAGGCATTAAACATATTTATCTTTCATGTATTCAATTGTAGGACAGCTTGTCTGAGATAGAGACGCTTAATACAATACAGTGGAACATTCCAAGCAAAGTAATAACATTTCCATAGACAACAAGTGGCTGACATGCTACTAGAAAGGTTTCACAGTGCATCTTTAATTTATTCTCATAACATCTGGTTAAATTTCTACCCATTTTACTTACTACTTCAAGCGACCATTGTGGAAAGTTATCTTCATGGCAACAACTAAATAAAATGACATCAAGTACACCATCACCCTGAATAATAGTAGTTTTAAATGGTTTAAAATGTATTAATTAAACAAAACAAACTCCTCTTTTTGCCCCTGTCTGCTCCTCCAGATCTGATATATACTTTTAACTACCTCCTTTAGGGACCAGGTCTGTCTAAACAAATCCTACTTTTCCAAAACACTGGCCTCTGCCTTTAAACTATTGTAAATCTACGGTGGCCGTTGGGGGACAAAATGCTGGGATGTATTGTGGCTACTGGGAGCACATGAAACCACTCTGGGGTTGCACTAGTGGAGCTATGTGCATCCTGAATTGTAAATTAAATATACTATAAGACGAATGAATTTTTTGCAACTTTTCTTCCCCTAAACTTTTATTTTGAAAAACCAATGAGTGGAGAATGCAGTCGAGGATGTGAAATAGTTTTTGCGTTTTATTTGTTTTTGTAGATATTTGGAACGGACATTATTGTTTTGAGTTTTTTTTAATTCACAACATCCCTTAACCATTTGCATCTCATCTTAAGTAAAAAACTACCAATTTTAACAATATTTCAAGGTTTCACTGTGTAAGTTTTCTGTTGGTAAGCTGCCATCTTCTTGTTTCTATGGAGATGTGATTGCATTACTTGGAATGTTCCCCAGTATGGCATTAAAACATGGCATTTATTTAATTACAGAGATTTTTATTGATCAAAAATGCATTGAAAAACATGCATTAAACTTACTGTAAGCTGGCTCGCCTTTCCACAGATCCAGCCTTTTGGTTTCAGTTGCTTGTTTCATGTTGTAGATAGTTTAGTTTAAAACCATATTGTTGAACTTTCTTGATAAAGCAGCAACGTCTCCACGGAAACAAGAAGACGGCAGATTATCTATTAAAAAGATACACAGTGCAGCTTTAACTAGAAAATGTTCACGTTATTAAGAGTTTGACCCATTTCATAGTAAAGCGGTGGTCTTTATTAATAGTACATTTAAATACAAAATCTTATATCAAATAACTTGTACAAAGGAAACTATTTACTTGGACCTGAAAGTGCTCTAAATATTACTATATAAGTGGCATTTGAATGGAAGAAAATGAAGGACTGCTATTGACACCTGCTATGTATTTAACTTAAAATCTATGAATGTTTTGAATATTAACATCATTAGCTTCACTATGTAGATTCTTGTACCATGCCAAACAAAAAACTGCTTTTCGATTTGATATCTTAGGGCTACAATAGGACAGCTAACGAAATAATGTGAATTCATGAGTTTAATTTCTATCCAGATCTATTTTTAAACTGTAAATGTCATCTGTACTGTCCTTTTTGTTTTCATCCAATGGCAAACAGGGTTCTCCCAAAACGCAGTTTCTACCTTTCTCCTATAATAGTCTGCACCAACCAGCCAGTACATTAAAACAAAAACATGAGTGAAGTTTAAATTATTATTTTAAATGCATTCATTATGGTGTTTTTTGTAGGTGGGAAATATAAAGTAAACCGCTTGTTGTCAAAGTTGGCATGTTTGGACTAAGCAGGAAAACTGGGTAAGGATTTGAGTAAGTTCGAAAGGCTGAAAGATTTGAGCTTTTGTTGGAGATTCCTAATGTACAACACTAGGCAGTATCTGTCATGGTGATTTTAGTCCTTGGTTAGACTTTGGTTAGTCCTGGTTTAGTCCTGGTTTAGTGCAGCTCTTATGGGATGTTATTGGTATACATTGGTCAGTATACAAGAGTTTTTAAGGTTTTAAAACTGGTTTCGGCCTGGTTTAGACCTGGGTTAGACCTGGGTTAGTCCTTGTTTAGACCTGGGTTGGACCTGGTTTAGTGAAGCTCTTGTTGGATGTTACCGGTCTGCATTGGTCAGCATATAAGAGCAGTTTTAGACCTGGTTTAGTATTGTTTTACTGCAGCTTTTGTCAGGGATCCCAATATCCTGTGGCCAGTATTTATTAGAGAAGTGGCAGTCCTGGTTTAGTCCTGGTTTAGTCCTGGTTTAGTCCTGGTTTAGACCTGGTTTAGACCTGGTTTAATAAAGGTTTAATACAACTCTTGTGGGGTGTTCTCGATCTGAAATGTTCAGTATTGATGAGAGCAGCTTTAGTCCTAGTTTAGTCTTGACTTGGACCTTGGTTAGACTCTGTTAATCCTGGTTTAGTCCTTAGTTAGGCCTGTTTAAATTTACAGCTATTCTTCATTCTAATACTAAACTGACTTGTTTCTCACTGCATCACAAAATATCTTAGAGATATTACTTTTTTTGTCCTTTTGTTTTGGCTGGTTGGTGCAAATAAAGTGTTTTTTAACTGTCAGGGTATTATCCAACCTCCTTTCATTACATTTTATCTGACAGAGCATGCCTGCATTGTTTGCCTAATTTCTCTTCATTAATCTCTTAATAACTTATTATGACATTGCAAGTTTCCCATGACAAAGAAAGTAGAGGTGCTATTTAAAGATGGCTGCCACTTTTACTGACTTCCAAATGTATTTCCCAGAGCTACAAACTCTCAGATTTAACCGTTATTTGATTTTGTTTAGTTACATTTTTGTTTTTTTGTTTTTTTTTGTTTTTTTTTTTTAATATAAACTTGACATGAAAACGCTTGGGCAGTTGACAAAATAACAGAAATTCTAGCATTTTGTGTGTCCTATTTAAAACACTATTGCATAACTACAATTAATGATTTTTTTCTACCCCAAAGCTTATAACGTCATGCTACTTACTGGTCATTTAGTATGCGCTGCACCGTAGTTGTGACCCCCTCTGCTGGTCATCGGAGGGAGCTGTTGCTTTAGTGATTTTTGCATAGGTAAACTGCTAGAAAATCCCGTAATATTATACTGAAGTCAATGTTATAATGTTATCATGATGTCATTAATTATACATCAGATACACACAATTACACAGATGAAATGGCTGGTTAATTCTTGAAATTTAATGCTTTTATTTAGACACTTCACTTTTGGACCTAATTTTTTCCATATTTTTCAGTGTTTTTTCCACAATCTGGCAACTAGAGTAACCTAAAACTACTAAAACACCTATATCTCCAAACTTAACCCTTTTTAAAACTATTTTACAGACAATATCATTTCAAAATCATGTTATTGTGCTATATATAGTGTGTTCAACTCACATCCAGTAACTCAGGAAGTGAAGTCTGTTTATCAGTAGTCTCCATACTTTTTAAATGCAACTGATCCCATATATTTTAAGATCAAATCCACTTCTCTCTCTAACAAACGCGATTGGAACAGCTAATTTCACTTTTTTTAAAACTACTACTGCCTTTGCCCATTTTATTTGTCAGATGAAAACCCTATTATAAGCTCAAATTGTACAGAATGTATGGCATTATAATATATAGCAGTTTTTTAGTCCAGTTTTAGTGTTTTTTTTTTTTCTTTCTATCTAAAGCTGAAATTAAGCTGGAACAATATTAAACCACCATTCCCATCGCTGTATACACAATAGCTTTTTGATTTCACCATGCTATTTCCATTGTCATATACCTCTATTTTCCCATCTTCTTTTTACTAATAATAATGTTAACGCTTTGACACAGCATATAAACTAGTGTAGGATTTTTTTAACCAATCAGGGAATACGCCACGCACTGTCGCTGGGTAGAATATTATTGTAACTATGAGAAAGATGATGATGATACAATAACAGAAATGAACAGTATTTCTGCTTTGTATTTTATTGTTTTCAAATCACAAACTGTCTCTGTTACAAAGTAGGAATAAAGTTAGAAAATTTTGTATAACTGGTCTTGTCTTTCTTAGAAGTAGAAGTATGTATTATATGGATCAAACAAATTATTACTTTCAATTTTTAAGTCCAAAAAACACATTTGAAGTTAAAATTTAGGGATGTGGTTTAATGACTCACTATTATAAAATTGTATTATTCAGTGTATAGGACAAATGAGTGAGATATTGTATTCTTAATTTACAATATTGCAAAAAATCTACATCTTGCACAGTACAATGAATGGATCACTCAATCTTTTGGGTAAGTTCGTTAACTGACTTTTTAAATGTTGTTTTTAAAGACAGATAATGTAGTATGAGTTAGTCTTGGTTTACTTCTGCTTTAGACCCTGTGTAGTCCTCATTTAGTGCAGCTCTTGTGGAATATTAGTCATAATTGGTCAGTATATGAGCTGTTTTAGATCTGGTTTAGACAAGGGTTTGTACTGGGTTTAGACCTGGGTTTAGACCTGGTTTAGACCTGGGTTTAGACCTGGGTTTAGACCTGGTTTACTCCTGGTTTAGTCCTGGTTTATTCCTAATTTACTCCTGGTTTAAACCTTTTTTCCTGGTCCTGGTACTTGTTTACTCCAAGTGTGTTTCCAATATCCTGTGGCCAGTATCTGTTAGAGAAGCTTTAAACCTCTAGACCCTGGTTTAGAGTTTTTGTGGGGTGTTCCTGACCTGAAATGGATCACTCAATCTTTGGGTAAGTTGGTTAAGTGCTGAAATATGACATGTTTAACATTAGTTTAGTATCTAGAATTCCTTTTTAGAATTTGGCTGTACTTCCTGTAATTATTTATTTTTCAGCTTTTTTGCCATTTGTCTGATTTAAAACTATCAAAAACATAAAATGAAGTAATGACTGAAAAATCCTGAAAACCTGTCATAGGCCCTTTTAACATGTGGAAACTGTTTACTCAAGGGGTTGGGTCAAATGCAGAGGGCCCATTTCTCTTCTGGGCCCATAATTTATCTGTACTTTGCCTCTCCCTCTGATTGTGAAGGGAACAGAGATAGTCATAACTCATTCAGATTTATGGCGTGACGCTTCACTGGAGCAAACCATGTTGTAAATCCACTTATTCAAATATGCAGCGGTTTCCTTCTGCTACAGTTTATTCAAAGCAGTTCTCATGTTACACCAGGAGGTAACAGAGCCCAGAGTTCACTGTGTGTTTTGAATTCATATCATATTACAATTACTTGCAAATGTATTGAATTAATTATATTGTGCTTAGTGGTAATAGAGATAGTAACAGTGGTAATAGTAGCAGTATTAGAAAAATAAGAAAATTAAATGAATCTGTTTCCATAAAAATACTTTCCTGGTGTGTGTTGAAATGTTTTTCCCACTATGGCATTAGATATGTATATCAACCCTTACAGATGTTTTAATTGCTCAAAAATACATGGGAAAAAATGTGCCTATAGTGCCTACATGCATACTTGCCTCTTCACAGATCTGTGACTAGATGGATGGACGCCATATTGTGGAACATTCCAGACAAGGCAATAACATCTCTAATGAAACAAGCACCAGAAAAGTTGCACAGTGCATCTTCAAGCAAACTGATTTATTTAATTCACAAAAAGTTACATGTAGTTAACCTTGAAATCTTTAGCCAGGTTTAGTGAGTCATATTTTAAAGTAACAACACTACACTTGTCCCTAACCTTTTGTAAATAAATAATTATGTTCAGTGTTTCTCATTTTACTGTCAGAATATTTTCATGTAAATAATGTAAACTGATGACATTGCTTGAATTTATTTTCATTAACTATTTTTATTTGGTATAACTAAATGACACACAAACAGCAAAATCTGATGTGGCTAATAAACAAACCGGATGATTTAGCTGTTTACTGTTTGTAAATTTAATAATGTTATAACCCCAAAAATGTGACATTAAAGTCATAGTGTGTACCGGTGACTTTCTGGAGGTGAAAGTTATCAACATACGGACAATTAAAACAAAAAATTTTAAACTCTTTTCATGAAGATATACAGTATATATATTTTTGTTTATTTCATTCATTAAAGTATTAAAAGACATTAACAGTGTCCTAACATTAAACATACAAGAAATGAATGAAAAGGAGCAGAAAGAAGAGTCATCTTATGGTATCTGCCTCCTCTTTCCTTTTCCAGATAATACATTAACACTGATAGTTACTTGACATAGCCTATTACTGTTACTACTTACTATCAATGAATTCTGTCTTTCAGTGCAATAAACACAACCATAAACAACCTTTTATTTTAGTCTATGTTTGGCAAAAATGTTACATATTATGGCTTTAATCACATTTTGAGGGCATGTAACTGCAGCATATGATCTACTGTTGAGTTTAGATTACACATTACGCATTAGGCCTGTCATGATAACAAATTTTGCTACAGAGATATCCTGCTATAAATTATAATATTTAAACTACTTTATGACAATGACACAGTAACAATAAAGCAGGATAAGTAAGCAGTAAACCTATTTTTGAATATGTAGTATCATTAAAAGGCCTGAGATGCAACAAATAAATGGATGAACCAATAATTAACAATAAAAGTAATGTATTCTACCCTCTACAGCTCAAATCTCACCTTATTACATTAAAATGGTAAAAATCTCTACAGGTTTGCAAAGAAAACATACAAATGATACAAATTAGAGCCCCAAAATATATAGTTCCTGCTTTCATATACTGAAATTGGTATAGTAATTATTGTGACAGGCCTATATACAATTTTGGTAACATTTTCTTGCAGGGCCTGTGCTGTGTGATGAGAGAAGATGGAGTCCCTTTCTTTCAATGGGGGCTGGTCTGAGCAGCCATTGCTGTGAAGGAGCTGAAAAATGCAGGAGCAGCAGTGTGGAGTGTTTTTACAGTGGGGGAGGTCTCTGCTGACTCCATCCAATCACGGTGCATCTTCTCATTACAGACAGCTCCTATTATGGTGCTAAACAGACATTTGCATTTAACTGATGAAAAAAACTAAAAGGGACACTTGAGATGAAGCAAGACCAGTGCATTCAATTTTGTTACTCAAGTAGAATTATAGATACTGGAACAAAAAATATATATACTCAAATAAAAGTAGAAGTATATTTAAAAAATGACTTAAAGGTACATTGTGTAACTTTGTAGGTGGAGGGTTTAAAGTACCTTTTTACAAAACTTAAAGAGTAAAAAAGTTAAAGTATTTCACACAGATTTTCAGATCCAATAAAGCTTCAAATGTAGTGATTCTGATGCAGATTTGTGCAACAGAACCAACTGAATTTATAGTTCTTTTTTCTTGCTGTTTGCTGTTTTGTTTGCTCAGTCCTCAAATGTGCTAAAAAAAAATCTGTTTTTTCAGCAGGCAGGTCAGTCCTGTTCAAAAATGCAGTATAGTAGGAAGTAAAAATACCTGCTCTCAAAGGTAGTGAGGTAAAAGCAAAACGTATCCACTGCAAAATCTATTTAAGTAAAGTACAGATATCTAAAATGTATACATAAGTACAGTACTTTACTACTTTTACTTTGTTGCATTCTGTTACTGAGCCTAACACAGAATACACTGCAAAAAATCCTATAATTTATTAATTTAACATACCCAGTACTTTAAAAGGCCATTTCCCATTTTACAGAGAAGCCTATGATGGTGATGATAATCTAAAATAGCTGGACAATAGGGTGAAATGTTCTTACATCAATCTTAAGATCGAAATGTTTTTAAACTCCATACACCTTTCCTTTTTTTTTTCATTTGGGTAATTTCAGGCCTGGTTTTGTCAATCTGTACTGAACTATTAACTTGAAAACTACCACCGCATGACATAACAAGGTGAAACAAAGCATTTTGAGCTTTGGAGATGTAGACAGACTAATAATAAAAGGTTACTCAGATGTGTGAATGAAACAAAACAGATATGTTTCTGTGGTGGTAACATTATAACATGACTGAAAGCTCACAAGAATGAATTATGTGTAATATAGGACCTTTAACAGATGTAGGCTACACTCATTTTAAAATCTATTTATTCTTGGTATATAGGTCTACATTAATAAAACCTTTATTGTCGCATAAGGAGGAAAATAGTGTTGCTTTAACCTTTTCTCTTTACAGTGGGACAAACAGGTGATGCCTGAGCTATGAAAAGGCAAGTCCGCTCACAGAAAGAATGCATGTTTTTCCAAAGTATTTTAGTCAAGTCAGATTTATTTGTATAGCACGTTTAAAAACGAAAGATGACCAAAGTGCTTTACAGACAATGGTAAACCCCAATACACAATGCACAATATACAGCAAGAAAAAATAAGTTAAGAAATAATATAGCTTAAAATAATAATAATTGAAATGGGAAGGCTTTAGAAATTTTAAGAATGAAAGGATGAATGAAAAACAGGAGGGAAAAAAGAAATACGTATTCAAAAATCAAGATAAAAAACTAGTAGAATAGACTTGAATGGAACATCACTTGGCACCTGGAGTAAAAATGTCACACTAGACCTATATTGTAGCTATAAATGACTATGACGACTAAGTTAATGTACAATACAGTATAAATGGCAGGTGACAACAGTGCATTGTACCAGTGACATTATAACAAAACCTCAACAGAAACCACGGGAAATCCCTATGTGCATCTATATACAGCTTTAATTTCCCTTCCGCCCTCGGTATTAAACCTGTCATTCTTGGGCTCTATTGATTGTTATCCCAGAATAGATTAGTCCTGGCTTGTCTCTGCAGCTGTCAGTGGCATTTCTGTCGTCCGTGCAGAGGGCGGAGGAGGGCAGCAAGCAGCGGTGGTTGCGACACTCCCGAGGCCGCTGTGTGTGACTGTACCGTGGGATAAACCTGCCACCTCTGCACCGTAACAAGGCATCCCCCCTCGTTAACCCCGCCTATAACAAACCGTGCCAATCCCAGCCTTCTAAACACTCTACCGCTGTGTTTATTGTCCAAAATTGACCTTGACCAAAGCGAATAGCAGCGCAGGGAGGCGTGTCTGTCCTGCCCTAGTTCGGTTGCAGCGGATGTCGCTTATCAACTTTTGATAGCAGCGGCGAGCCTTGTGCAAAGCTAATTTAAGCAATGTTTTTTCTTTATCACCTAGTTTAGATTTAGATGCACTGTTCTTCTGCAGGATTATGCATTTCTACGCGTGATCGCACATTTGTAGCCGCTGCAATTTGACGCATTCCTCAGTTGTTTTGGAGGGAGAGGAGACTCCATTTTCCTGGCTGGCTGCTGCAGCAACACGGCGGGGAAGCTAGCTGGGTATGCGGCTAAGCTAACCCCTCTCCACGGCGAAGAAAACCACAGCGAGCGGGGGGCTTGCGGGTACTGTCCCTTTGACGATACTTTTGTTGACTGCAAAATACTCCCAGGTAGGTGTGAGGATGCCAATGCAAGCGATTTTTGTATTAGATGTTTGAGATTTTTGCCGGGAATTGCGAATGTAGCCGCGGATGGTTTGCTAGCCTCGGGATGCTAAGTGGCTAACTAGCTTCGCGTTGGCTTTTCCTCTCAGCTGATAACCTGCTGCATTTCCCACGGTGCTTTTCTTTTTCTATCACGCCACACGGCTTAAATACAAATGCACGGTTCTTGCCATTCATTTGAGATCATGTGGAAATGCTGTTGAAGCCTGTATGTTTTATTTAGCGGGTGCATCGCAGTCGTAAAAATGTAATGTTAACGGTGCGGTGTTTACACAGCGCTGCAGTCAGTGATGGAGGGAGACAGATTGTGGATGCAGACATGGCCGAAACGGAGGTCCATCATATGCGATTTAGACCTGATTTACTCTTGGTTTAGATCTGATTTAGTCTTGATTTATAGACCTGGTTTAAACATGATTTACATTTGCTATAGACCTCTATAGTTTAGACATATGCCAGTTTACTTCTGTTTCGTATTACTCTGACTTTTTTTCGGCTTGGGTTAGTCCTGATTCAGACCTATTTTAGACCTAATGTAGTCCTGCTTTGGATCTTCATTAATGCTAATTTATTCATGTTTCTGGCCAAGTTTGGACCCGGTTTAGTCCTGGTTTAGTTTCAATGAATTCCTGTTTTAATGATGATTAAGACATCATGTGATTGCTGCATGTTCATTATTAGAGGTGAGGTTTAGTTTTAGTCCTTGTTTTGGATTTACTTGGCTGTGATTCAGACCTGGTTTAGACCTGGTTCAGAGCTGGTTTAGTCCTAGTTTACAGCTGGTTTTGACCCAGGCTCTCACATGGATGTTGTGTTAATAGGAGGTGGGGTTTATTACTTGGCCTTTTCCTATCTGTATTTCCATAATGCTGATGGAGCAGGTTTATGGTTAGGCTTTGTTTAGGTCTAATGGTGGTTCATTTTGAGTCCTGGTTGAGTCCTGCGGTGTTTTCCCACATGTTTTTATTGAGACTATAATGGCACAAGTGTGACCACATTTGTAACATTTTATTTAATATACTTTTTGCAGTCTAAATGTCACTTATTGCCTTACTTATTAAAAGCACTGTTTGCAGATTTAGTATAGTTACTTCTATATGCTACTGACAATGCCTCCAGCATAAAGTATAATTTATGCTTGTTTGTAGACTATGGGGCAAAAATTACACAATGGGGCAACTTCCTTAGTCTCCTATTAATGAGAAACAGGTTCTGTCCTGATTTAGTCCTGCTAATTTAATTCAGTTCATTTAAATAATTGGTGGCAGTTAAAAGTTAGGGTTTGTCATTATTGAAATGGTTTAGTCCTAGTTTAGAGCAAGTTTTCACCTGGCCTTTCTCCAGTGGTTTAGTCCTGGTTCACTTCTGTTTTTGATCCCATTTACCAGTTTCTCTGTTTCCTTACAGCATGCTGGTGGTGGGTATTGGGAATTTCGTTGACACTTAGATCTGGTTTAGTCCTGGTTCAGTTTTGATTTAGACCCATTTTTTTTACCTGTCTTCTCTCTCTCTGCAGCAAACTGATTGTGTGAGATGAGGCTTTACATCTGGTTTAGTTTGTTTTAGGCCATTTTTTTTTTTTTTTTTTTTTTTTTTTTTTTACCTTTTTGTCTCCTCTCTCTTTACAGCATGCTGATGGTGGGAGGCGATGGACTGCTGCACTAGAATGAGTGTGAGGGAGCTGTGTGAGACGGATGACCTGGCCACCAGCCTGGTGTTGGACCCACTCCTGGGCTTCAGCACCCACAAGATGAACATCAGGTCAGACTCAGAGTCACAGGCAGTCCCTCTGAGAATGGCTTTCTGCAATTAATATAATTCTAATCAAGATGGCTTCAGTAATTTCTAATCAATGATCATCTTGTGATCTTTTTAAGAGGTCTGACAACAGGGCAGGACATTAAACAATAGTATTGGTAATTGTGATGAAAAGACAATAAAACTTAGTCCTAGTAAAATGAAGTACAGTTTGGCAGTATGTTTTCATCAGGCAAATGGAGTATATTCAGGCATATAAAATATAACTCCACAGAAAACACAAAGCACAAAGTAATTACTTGTCATTTTTACACAGTTCTACACATTTGCCCTTAAATTTTTGACAGGTCAGTCCTGTATTAGTGGGAGTTGCAATCCACTTGCATGGTTATTCCCTGTTGGGCCTGAAAGCGTTCTGTGAACCACTGGTCTAATACATCTTAAACTTGTTAATATTGCTGTTAAAATGTTAATCGTACATTGCACTTCGATATGTTGTGTTTTATTTAACATTCCATCTTCAGAATAAAATGAATGTACTTGATGCATTATTTAAACAGTTCTTTCTTGTGTTGCAGCCCCCCTCCTGAGGTGCGGCGATGGGGGAACCTGAAGGAAACTCTTCTGAGGTTCCAGAGGACGCGAGACTTCGACGCCACGTTTGAGGCTCTGACTGATGGAGAACTCGCCGGAAACTACTTCAACGCTCTGGGGTCCCACAGACAGGACCTTCTTCGGCAACATGTGAGTCACTTTATGGTTTAAGAGTCTTCTTATATGGCACAATTTGGGTACTTTTTCCTTTTTAAAACAACATTTGTGTTTAAATTGTTAATTGTATATATTTTTCTTAAATTGTATAGAGTAAACACAGAATTTTTTTTTCTCCCCTTTTCCCCTACCCCATGCTGAAACAAACGGCTTAATGCTATTAAACTAATATTACCAAAATACAAAAAGTATGTAAACATATACACTTAAAGTAAAAGGAAAAAGACATTAACTAATGTATATATAAAAAGGATAATAAATAATACAGATACATTTTAACACGTTTTTATTTTCAGTTTCAGCCTTTTTTTTTCCTTTTGTGCAAAATATGAAACATTGTAAATTACACAAAGTACAAAAAAAAAAAGTTCCACTGTTAAATTAGGACTGTTGCCATAACAATTTTCATCAGTCTGAAACCCATAGATAGAACTGTATGGAATATTTGTAAACGGGGCATTAACCGGTTATGTGTAGATTTAGGGCTTTTACAGTAATTACCATTTCAATTTATTGCTCAATAAAATTAGATGATCAAAAACATGTTTTAGTGGTAAGTATTTCTCACTTGTACTTGCTCTGGCACTGACCTTTTTCTTAGTGTTTTTAGTGCATTAACATTTGAGCTGAAGAGGGCTGAGTAATTACCACCTCTATGACTCATTATAAATACACTTTAACACACTTTGAACATTCTGTTTGTTTGTACTGTTTATCTAGTCCAGCTCATGCTTTGAGTTCTTTTGGAAAAGTTTAATCCCACTTTTATGATTTAGGCTTAAAAAATATATTATTAACAACACTTCATTATTATTAGTTATTGAAAGTATTATTATGAAACAATGTACTCTTTTTGAACTATATGTTATCGTGACAGCCCTATGTGTAGATTAGGGCTGCAAGATAAATAGGAATCAGCAAATTATGAAGACTGCAGGTCCACTACAAAGTGCAGTTAACAGCTAAATATTCTGTCTATGTGTAAAAACCTGTCTACTTTTTTTAGGACACAATGTTCTGAAATGCACAGTTCTTTCATTATTTCAGCATTTCATATTTCAGTCTTTTTTCTAGTGTAAATATACAATTAATGTATAAAACAGTGTTTTATAATGTGCTCAATGATCCACATCCTGTTTTTTTTTTTTTTTTTTAAAGCTTCACTAATTGCGATGCTAGTCCAAAAAATGCAATTATATATTCTAAATAGTTCAGGGTAGATAATTTTGGCTTCTTTCAATATATGACTAAATAAATAAATGAATTGAATTGAATAAATGAATAATATGTGTAATCTGTATTAATGGCAATAATGATACTTGAAAACTATACCTAGAATAATTTGATAAAAAATAAATCTTGCTTATTAATCTTTTGTTCTGTAACGTGCTTGTGTATACTGTATGCCTATTACCCCTGAGCTGAGTTCTAACCCTGTGCCTGCCTGTGTGTATAAAATGCACAGGTGTACCGTTACCTGAGCGCCTTCCTTTTGGACAGTGGAGTGAAGCTGGAGTCATGTGACCGATACTCCTCCGAGACCAATGGGGCCAAGATCACCGCCACAAGACACTGGTATTCACTCACACAGGGGCCTAATGTAGTGTGGCTATTGTCTACTTACTGTCTAATGTGTACATTCTTAGGCTAATGCTGCTGATAACGCTAATCTGTACATACTGTAGAAATACTTCGACAGAGGTGCACGATAATGACAAAAAGGATCTGTGCAGAAGACAATTTGACCATCTGACATCTGATATTAAGACAGTAATATTAGCAGTGTTTTTAAGTGTGCCTGTAATAGTCTTGGTTGTGGTTTAAGTATCAAAAAGTCAAATGGACTGTAAAATGAACCACAAAACTGCAGTTTTATATTGTAATTTGGGAAGTTACACTGAAAGTCTTTTTAATTTATAATTCATCTCTAGTTCACTACTTGAAATTCACTTGCACAGCGGCGTTTTAAAGGTCAAATTTCTAATAAAAAGTCAAAGTCATTGCTCCTCAACAAATTCCACTTAACTTCAACTTCACTTCCATACAATACATGACATATCTTTACCTGCTTAAACGAAGTGTTGATGTGAGCACACTAAATCAATTCTAGTTAGAATTTTTATTTCTTACTTTTAAAATGTTACACAATAGTATTTTTTTGTTAGTACGCTTGACTTTCCGGACTGGTTGCATTGTTTTCTTGGGGAATTCGTAGACCTGTCTCAAGTAGGTTTGTCTCATATTTGTGTGTTCTAGTAAAAGTTTGTGGACTTGTTATATCCATATTTGTGTATTCTTTTGCAGGTTTGTGGGGGAGCGTGTGGAGGTGCTGTTGGGCTGTATCGCTGAGCTGAGTCCTTCCGACAGTGCAGTGCTTCGGGCTGGAATCAACGACTTCAGCGTCATGTACTCCACACGGAAACGCTGCGCTCAACTGTGGCTCGGACCAGCCGCCTTCATCAACCACGGTCAGGTTCACACATGTGTTAAATCTACACTCTGGAATTTTTCTAGTAGGAAGTCTGCTAACTGTTACTCTGCATGGAGGTGTATAGTTTTTTCTGCAGTATTACGCAGTATGGCAATAAATGTATCCATCTCCATGAAGACAAGCAAAGGTAACGCCACCAGGTTAAGTCAGAGGTCAGATCTGTGGACAGGCAACCCAGATCACAGTAAGAATTCATGTTTTCAAGAGATATTTGTAGTTGTTTAGCAGTTTATCAATTGGTTATTGATTAAATGTAAAATACTGTATGATTAATGCCATACAGGTAATATTTTACAATTTAAAAAAAAGCAATGAAATCTCTATGAAGACAAATGGACAGCAGACCTTCCCTCTAGAAAGTTACACAGTGAACCTTTGAAGCTTTATTCATCAAAGAAAGTAAAATTCTTTATTAGTTGCGCAGTTAGTCCTGGCATTTGTGTGAATCACCTCGGAGGCTATCACATTATATCGAATTACAAGTCTCTTTGCTTAAATTAAGAGTTATGGTGATTCTTAATTTCTTTATTTGTTATTTTAAAGTCTTTTTTTTTTTTTTTCTTTAAAGCTCTTGGAATTACTTTGTGCTCTTCAAATAAACTTGCCTTGCCTTGCCATGGTGTAGCAGCAGCTAAAAAAAAAGAAGTAACCCCGTAGACCATGATCCTTTGGTGTTATCAGTGCAGACTACATGAAGAAATAATTTTAAATCTTAATTCTTCATTTTATAACAGTACCAATGGCTTTTCAAGGCTTTCCCAAGACTTTTAAAAAGAAAATGTAGCATATTCACAATTTTGTATCGTTACATCCCTAGAATCAGCTTTACAAATCAAAGGGAAACTCTTCAAATTATTGTTTAGCTGAGTGACCCTGAGTTTATGTAACTTATGCAACAGGTGCAAGAGATAAGAACTAAAATGTACTTTCTGAAGTTTTCAAATTGTGCACTCCAAAAAAAAAAAGTAATGTAGAGACAAAAAACTGATTTATTCTAAAGTAATTCAAAGTGATTTACAGAACAAGAAATACCCAGTAAAATAACAATAAAATAAAATAAAATAAAATAATAAATCATCATTATAAAAAGTTAAGTCATTTCAGTTATATGCACTGCTAAACAGAACTGCTTTAGGCCTTTTAAGGTTTGATTAACATTGTCAGAATAGAGATTTGTCTTCAGTTGAACTGGAAAGAAATTATCATCTTGAAATGATCCCAAAACCTCAGCTTAACAGTCCTAACTAACTAATGTAGTTATTCCTCCATTAGCACAAAGTAGCCGTTTGTTTTTACAGTGAATCTTTTGCAGAAATTTGAAACTCTTTTTAATTTAAGCTTATCTCTTGCACCTGTGGGAGTTGTGACCCTCAAGGACGTCCAGCTGAAGCAATATTTCCCATACTTAGTTCCCACAAACCAACTGTTAGTAAAGGCCATTCATAGTGATGCCAGGATGTGTAATACTTGTGAAGGATATTTATGGCTGTAACTAACTTCGTTTTATGTGTTTATCTCCTGCTGCCACCTGCTGTCTGAACGGTAGACTGCAAGCCCAACTGCAAGGTAAAACACTCTTAACATGAATCTAAAATGTTAGTAATAATAGCCATTACCATGAGTTGAGGATGATATCTTGTTTACAACTACACGAAAATATAATAACTTTTAAATGTTTTAAATGTATTCAAATTAGAATATCATGTATAATGGCTGTATTAACTTTGTTTATGAACTAAGAACCAAATTCACACACAAGGAATGCACGGTGTTGTTTTGGTGCATTATTTAACAATTAATGATATCAATAATGCTAAAAAATAGATACTGAAATAACAACTTTTAAAACATGCATCTCTGCTCTATTAAATTCTACACTTAATTCACTTTTTGGGCATTTTTTTAACCTTTACAAATACATTAACAGATGGATTGTAAAATGTTATCTGAATATCCCCCTATTATTTATTTTTTCATTTATTCCATTCAATTTGAACTATATTATAAAGGAACTGTCAAGCTCCATGGCGTGGCAAACATAATTGGAAAGCTTTAAACCTCACATTTCAACAATTCTGGATATAATCTAGATCAGGTGCTTAACCAAAACTACACATAAAAAATTATAAATAATAAATTCAGTTTTTTTTAGGCTTTTCTTTTTAACTTTATTCTAGAAATCTATTTTTAGTAATATTGTGAAATGAAAATTAAGAGAAATGCTCTATCTACTATTTATCAAGCCATATCTCCCCATTTTCACAATGGCTGGAAGTCCTGCCCTATAGGATTGTGGAACTTCCGGTGAATGGTTTTCTATGGCAAATTGTCTGTGAAATTGTCTTGCTTTGTAGCCATTTATAATTAGAGTAGATCAGGTTCAGAAGCGGCTCCAATTTAGTCAGACTTGAATTTTTTTTTAGGTTAGATCAGCCAGAATGATAAAGGGATATTACTTGAGAAAATGCAAAAAAAAAAATTACAATTTAATATGATATTTTTTGTCAGTATCACCCATTTATAATTGTCATATCATTACCAGTTTCCTAATGCTGTAATTAACCTCCACAATCACATTTACACCATCTGTCTCTCCTTCACCTGTCCCTGGGGTCTCACCTGTTCTTTGTCTGTGGTCGTGCCTCTGTTTTTGCACACGCCCAGTTCGTCCCCAGTGAGAAGAATGTCGCGTGTGTGGAAGTCGTCCGCCCAATCGCGCCTGGCGAAGAAATCACCTGTTACTACGGGGCGAGCTTCTTCGGTGAAGGCAACGAGATGTGTGAATGCTGCACTTGTGAACGGTAAGAACTTGATTATTATTATTAACTGTTAACTATTACTAACAAATGATTCATTGACCCATGGATTAAAAAAAATGATTGTAGTTATACTATGATAATTGATATATTAGTTTAATATGTTGCTGAAGAAAATGGAGTCAGTAAACTAGTTATCTGGACTATACAGATTCTTAAACGCTCACAAAAATACAACACCTACGATGGCATTATTGAATCAAAAAGTTTTCATCAATAATACACTTTTATTTGTGAATAATGTATATTTAGAAGGCTTCAGTTCTCATATTTCTGTATTGGGTTGATAATGTGTTTTAAAATGGTCAGTGTACAATAGGAATGATTATTTGACTAGCTGACTAATCAAAAAACAATCACTGACAAGTTGAGTACTAAATTAATCATTAGTTGCTGCCCTACTTTCATTAGAGCTGCACAATTTAAGACTACCTGATTTCCCCCCCCCCATTTATTTCTCTTGCCCCAATACAGATCGGTTGTAAAAGCAGGTCAAAATGAGTCAGCTGCGCACTGTCTGCATCTAATAATAATAATAATAGAGCTGTTTGTTGTCCAATAATCAGGAAGTGCACATTAGCATGCTAATTGTTGTTTGCTTTACTGTAATGGCAAAACTGTGCTCTGGGCTTCTTTGAAAGTTGTGAAAAGTGCTCATTGGGGAGAATAATTAGGATGCTCTCAAAGCATAAGGTATGTGAGGAATAATTTTATACCACTGCAAACTGTTTAAAATGAACTAGTTCTGGTTTACGGTTTTTAAGATTGTAAAAATCAGATACTGGAACAACATAATTTTGCTTAAATGCATAAAAAATCAGGTACAATCACTTTAATTGTTGAGTTCTCATTGAAAAAAAAATCCCTCACGAAACCACTGTAAATCCTACTTAGTGACTAAATCTTCAGTGCTAAAATTAACTTCATCTTTTGTTTCGTTTTGGTGCGATTTTAGGAACGGAGAAGGTTATTTCAAGCAGAAGGGGAAGAAGCCGGACTCAGAGGAAACCAAGGATTCTCAAAAATATCGACTGAGAGAGCGATATCTGCACAAACATCGAGAAAAGGGACATTTGAATCGTCAGATCACTCCTGGAGCTCACACAGGTATTTCTAAAGACCTTTTCACTGTTGGCATAATTGATATAGTATGATTCAAGTAGATGTTATTGCTTTGCCTGCAGTGTTCCTCTGTATGGCATTTATTCAGTTGCCGTTGTTTACATTGCATTGGAGATGACCATTCACAATAAGTTACATAATGTACCTGTAAATTGGGCTATATGTTGTGGGAGTAAAGTAGTCTTGGCATAATGGTCTTTATATTGACTTTTGCTAAAGATTAAACAGAAATCATTGCTCTGTGGGTTTGACTGATGATCTTTCAACCTTAAACCGCTAAAAGACCAATTACCCCTCAGTGGCTTCTGTAATTACAGAGTTTGGCCTCAAAGTCTGAGCGGGTCATTTGTCATTACTTCAACTGCAGAAGTGAGTGATGAATTAAAAGGTTTTAGCCACGTAAACTGTTCAGTGTTGCTCACAGTTTCAGATTTTTTCATTAAAATGATCAAGATTCATTTATAAATCCATGTCCTTTTAACAACTAAATTTGCAGTAGAAATACGAAGAGCTTGTTAAGTGAAATGTTAATTACTCTACACCAGTTTGATAACATTGTTTTTTAATAACCTGTGTCAGTATTTGCTTATCTGTATTTAGGGGTGTAGATTTTCTTAAATTGCTGTTCATTTGGAGATTTTTTCTTAAATCTGTCAGTGAGAAACTGTTATTTTCTTTGAGTTAAACATGTTACACAAGGACTGCAGTGCTGTGTAATTTTACTTTTGACCACTAGGTGTTGTCTTGAGCTAAAATTTCCAATATTGCACTAGTTGCTTGGTGTTCATATTAACAGTTGGAATTTTTGCAGTGATCCTTTTATTTATTTCTTTATTATAAACACATTAATTTATATTATAATTTGACCACATTTTCAGTTGAATTCAGTTCAAAAACTTGTAACCCTTTGAGCATGGCCGATATTGACAAAAATTAATATCACAATATTTTTATCCTCATGAAAAAATTCAGATATTTGCCTATAAATGCTGAAGTTCAAGTATTCAGCAAATTGAAAGTACCTGTGTTTAACAATCTATTCAAAGATCTTTTATTGTTAGTATAATGAATACCATGTGTTTCAAGATGGCACTATTACCTATTACTATTATTACTACTACTACTGGTACTACTGCTGCTACTTTTGCTACTACTACTGTTACTACTACTACTACAAGCATAGCATCGCCATGGAGCCAAGAAAGTGGATGGAATAGATGAGTTTAATGAAATACTGTGGAACATTCCAGACAATATATCTCCATGGAGATAAGAAGGTGGTCTATTCTCAGACAGAAAACTTACACAGTGCAGCTTAAACAAAATTCAAAAGTATTCAGCAAAATGAAAGTCTGTTTTTTTGTTTTTGTTTTTAATACACTTTTTGTGCAGCCTCTTTTAATACATTTATTTTTTTTTTATTTTAGACCACATATTCATTATTCAGTTGTTTATATCTCCAAAACAATTGCGATACATAACTTCTCAGTCTCCCACCTCTTCTCATGCATTTCTGTGCCTTTAAAAATGACCTATTTATATCTGTTTGTAAATATTATGACATATTTGCTGATGTGGTAAGAGACAGTAGACAGACTGCCACTCCAACTGTATTTTAAATGACACATAGTTGGTGGTCTAACCATTCATATTTTATTCTGATAGAAAACTGCAAATGTGAAAAATGTGCACCAGCAGGATAATATTAATGACTCTCGATACACCACAAATCATAGTGATACATTTGTTTATTTTCCTTTTTTGCTCAATCTCCAATGGTACAAAGTTGTCAGATCCAGTTTTTGTTTTGGATTAATCACACGTTTCATTCTCACTCAAATTGGACTGGCACTTTCTCCCAATTAGCAAAATCTGACTTGACAAAATCATCGCCCAGTGTTGAAATAAGGCTGTTAATTTGTTTCCACACTCACACTGTGTACGAGATAGAGACACGTTTTATTACTGCACTTAGAAATGGTATAATTGTTAAAGGTCCTGTAATTGGCAAAATTGACTCTTGTGAGCTTTAAGCCATGTTATAATGCGGTTACGTCATCCAAAACATATCTGGAGTTGTGTTGTGCTTTATTTCATTCACACATATTTGAGTATAATATCTACTTTTTACCTTTTGTACAATTCCAGGACTGAAGTTATCCAAAAGATTCTAGTGAAAGTGCGTGGAGTTAAAAAAAAAAAAAAAAAAGTGTGAATGAAACAAAATACACCTCCTGGTATGCTTTTGATGAGGAAACATCATTATTACACGGATCCGAAAATAGCATAATATGATCCCTTTAAATACAGCTTGTCCTTCTCTGACATTTACAAAGGAATAAATTAATATATGTGTGATGCAGTTCCAGATAGATGTGGGCAGATAATGAAAAAGAATAGTGTGAATGTTGTTTTGAAGATGTGCAAAATTTGAATATTGAGTTAATTGTTTATAATACTGCAAAAACAGCAGAAAAAATAATAATAAATGGAAAAAACTTAAGTGTAAAGTATAAAAAGTATAAAGTGAGATTTCTGCAGTTGTGTGGGTAGTTATTTTCTCATTAGTCTAATACTTAAATCTCATCCAGTGGATTTACAGACAGAAATGTTTGCATATCTCTGTTAAACTGACATAACTGTTTCAATAGTTATCAGGATACTCAATTTTTTGTCAATATCGCCCACCCTAAGTTCCAGTTATAATTTTTTAAGAGTTTAAGTATACAAGCATTACACTTTATAGCTTTTGATTTGATTTAAAGGGAAGATGTCCAAATGTGAGATTTTATGACCCTCCATAAATAACATTGAAGTATTTCACATGTAGATGCCTGCAAATGGCCTCAGAGGGCTGTTATACTTAGTCAACAGTAGAGGGCGACAAAGTTAAGGAATTTAGTGCCAAAAGCTTCTGTTGAAACACTGAAACTTCCTCTGAAAATCCAACATGAACAGCATTTTAGGATGTTCATGTTAGAGCCTAGATCTTTGGAGAGGCAAGCTTGTGTTGTAAAAATGTTTTTCTAGGCATTTTTTGCAGTTAAAATTGAATAAATGCAATATGGATACGTTTAAAGCTATACCGTTGGGCATTTTTGACAAAGCGATAACATCTCCATGGAGATAAGCAGGTGGCAGACTAGACTTCATTAGAAAAGTTTCATTGTGTATGTTGTGGAAATTATCTGTAAAATAACACCAAAACATACTGAAAGACTGTTTCCGATGCAAATGTAATTGACCAACAAGAACGGTGCCACTACAGACAGTTTCTATTAGTAGTGGGCCCAGAGCAATAGGATGATGATGCTTAAATACTGTCTGAGGTACAAGCTCTTCCCAAGTACAATTTGCCTTAAGGTCAGTCTGGCCATGTGGCTTTCTTAGCTCAGAGGTAACACCTTTATACATTAGCATTTGAGTACAGGTAAGGATGATCAAACAATGGGAAATAAAACAGCAGGTATGTAAAAGGAAAAGACAAAGATACCTATAGCCTTCCCTGTGAAACTAAAGGATTAGACAAAGAATAACACTTTTAACACTTTAACACACCTGGTATATGAACCAAATCACCCACTGTATTACAACATCTGTATTAGTTAATATTGGCCTATAGAATGTGGTTATGTCATCTGAAACCCAGCAATATATATATATTTTTTTTACAAACTTAGACCTAAACTAACTTCCTATTCTTTTTCTTTTTTATCTTTGCAGCCATCCCCTCCAGAAACTCCTTCACACAGCAGATGAGAAGAAATGCTCTGAAGAACCGTCAGCTGGCGAAGAGGTGGAGACATCGCCGATCACCCAAACGACTCTTAAACAAGAACAAACCATCTGGACTGAAGCGTGTCAAGACTCTCCCGCTTTTGTCCGAAGTGACTCTACGAGAAGTACAAGTCCGAATCCGCCGCCACTCTGTAGATTTCCTATTGAGCTGTAAGGATCCGAAAAGTAAAGAGAGGGCTTTGCTACTGCAGCTGGAAGAAATTAAACCAAAAGAGAAGACTCCGCATCAGAAACAAAACGGTTCTTCGGAGGTTAACTTGAAGCCGTTTGGTCTGAAATCCTCCATCACTCAACGCAAAAGTGGGCAACCATTTCCGAACGCAAGCATTAAGAAGAAGTGTATGAAAGTGGCTGATAGGCGCGTAATTCATCTGAGAACCTCTTCAAGGACAAGAAGCAAAGAAAACCTAGCTGTTTCTGATAACAGCAAGGATAGTAAAAAGTCAGTGGAGCTAGAGAAGGACACCTGCAGTCCAATCAAGCCTGAAGACGGCATGAAGCAATCAACTGAAGATAGTAAGAAAGTTGTAGAAGAGACTATCACGAAAGATGCAACGCAAAAAGAGGCTACTCCTATCAAAAATACGGCCACGCCTAAATTAACCCCTGTGAAAGAAGTTAAAAAGGTTGAGAAAAAGACCAAGGATAATCCACAACATGCATTCAAGCAATATCTCACCATAAGTCTCACAAGAGTAACGATACCGCAAGAAAAAGTTGAGGTGAAGGAGATGAGAAAGCAAGTTTGCAGACGAACCAAGGGCCCAAAAAGCGTGCAACTCCTAAAGGCACAAAAACGAGAGTTAGAAATGTTGCAGGAGCATAAGGATGCCATTTTAGAAACAGCAGAGGGAAGCACAGGTGTTAAGGAAATGCTGTTCAAAGCTGGTGATAAAGTCAGTGTACAAGATACTAGTAATAAGGAGGAATTGACTACGAAGGAAAGCGTTAAAACTGTACAAAAGCAAAAACCAGAGAAGAGAACACTACGGCCGAAGCAGGTCGATGCCAGTGTAGAACCAGCAGAGGTCAGCACTGGAGTTAAAGAAATGCTGTTTAAGACTGGTGATAAAGTTAGTGTGCAAGATACAAAGAATGACAATATAGCTGCGGCTGTGACTTCTAAGAAAGGTGCAAAAACTGTACAAAATGTGGAAAAGCTAAAGCCAGAAAGACCAGAAAAGCGGTCACTACGGCAACAGAAACAGGTAGGTGCCAGTGTAGAACCAACTGAAGCAGCTACAGGAGTAAAGGAAATTCCAATTAAAGCTAGTGATAAAGTCAGTGTACAAGATGTGAGTAATGATAATGCGGATTTATCTTCCAGGGAGAGTTTGAAAAATGTACCAGAAAAGAGGACACTGAGAAAAAAGCAGGTAGGTGCTAGTGTAGAAACAGCTAAAGTGGGTACAGCGGTTAAAGAAAATAACGCTAAGGTTGATGATAAGGTCAGTGGACAAGATTCAAGTAATAATGTTGATGATTTAAATTGCAGGAAAACATCGAAAATTGCTCAAAAACCAGAAAAGAGAGTGTTGAGATGTACACAGAAACAGGTAGGTGCCAGTGTAGATGCAGCAGATGGGAACACAGGTGTGAAAGAAATGCTATTTAAAACCGGAGATAAGGTGAGTGTGCAGGAAAAGAGTAATGATGTTGATGACTCAAATTGCAGGGAGATTTCCATGAAAGAAAAAGTGGTTAAAAAACAGGAGGAGAAGGGAGAGAAGCCTGCAGAGGACAAGGCAAAACAAGATCAGCCAAAAGAAGTAAGTAAAGTTGAAATTAAAGAAACCGAAACTGAACTGACGCAAAATGTTCCAAGAGTTCAAAAGGCGAAGAGGTCTCGTGGTAGTATTTTTACTTCCAAAGAAGGACTACAAGAGAGTACAAGCAAAGAACTACAGCAAGATGATGGTGTCGCTATCAAATATGCTAGAGTTGTTTTGATGGACATTTTGAAAACCGATAAAGCTAAAATAGATGACATTTTCCTGAAAGATATTGTGGAAGTTACTCAAACCATACTCGCAAGTAATGAATCAAAACCTCAAGGTATCAAGCAGAGAAAAGTCATGTCAAGAGCAGCTAGGTTGAGGGCCGAAGCTAATATCAGAGCTAGAAGACGCAATGGGAAAAATGTGGAAATTAACATAAACACTGATTTAATTGGTGAAAATGCACAATTTGGAAATGAAATGTGTGATAAGCAACCAGTGAAATGCCTGAACAGCCTACCTCACAAGTCAACCGTTTCAACAAAAGCTAATTTGCAATCACACATCCAGTCAAATATACCTCTGAAAAAACGTACATTTCATAGCGCTGTTGATGAAGCTGAACTAGAAACAGGGGCAGTAGAAGTTACTAAAGAGGCTAGCGATTTTAAGGCATCTGGGATAAAAGTTGGTGCAAAATTGGGCTCAAAAGACAAAGGTAAAAAATTAAGCCAAAGGCGGCGATTAAGGAAAGATAAGAAGAAACTGGCCAATAAGAAAAAGGCGAGATCCAATACTATGAAGAGAGTGCTTAGGCCAAGAGCCAACCAGCCTCCACAAAGCCCCATATTGGCATCTCGAGAACGAAAATGCAAATTAGGTAAAAAGATCTACGTTGTAGATGGGGATGACGATGTTATAGATGACACACAAGATGCTAAAAACGATATTAGCGATACAAATATGGTACTGAGAAAAGCTGTAAAAGCTGAGACAGAGTTTGTGCCTCTTGATCAGGGTGAATTAGACGAGATTAAGCCAGGAACCAATTTTAAAATCCGATTCAAGAGACGCGGGGGTAAACTTTGGGAGATGGAAAATTCTGCATTTGATAATGTAATGTTTAAGAAAGAGAAGAGAGATGAGGCTGCTGATTGTGATCCTTTTAAAGCTATAATGGACTCGGTATCAATTTTGAATATGGAAATGGAAGCTGCAAGGGCCCATGTGCATGCCAGCTTAAAATCAAAGAACAGATTGCATCGGTTGAAAAAAAGAGGTGAGAGACGGACTGCCAATCTACCCACTGAGGCAAACTCGGACAGTAAAACTGTAGCGGGGGATGATAAGAAAGAAACGGCTGAAACCGGCATCAAAGTGTGCCCAGAAAAGACCGAAGTTGCTGTGGTGAAAGAACCTAAAATTGAAGATAGGTTTTCTCAGCCTTGCTGTATGTTTGAGCAAAAGCAAGAGCTAAAAGATGCGAATGGACACGCGCTCCCTGTGTTAAAACTGCGTCGGCGAACAGAAGATATATGGGTGGTTGACGATGATGTGGAGAAAGAAACTAAATCAGAACCACAAAATACCGTAGAATCAAAGGCACAGGCACCGGCACCGGCACCGACACCGACCCCGGCCCCAGCACCTGCTGTGGTTAAACAAAAAAGAAATTTGCTGGACAGCCTTAAGAAAGATGAAACCCCAAATAAAATACACACACTTTTGAAGACAGAACCAACCTCTTCACTGGCATTGTCACTAGCACCACTCACTATGGCCTCTCAGCATCCTCCAAATGAGAATATTAAAATGAACACGGAGAGGCCGGAGGTGTGCAGCGGAGGAAGAAAGCAAAGACACAAAATGGAGAGACCTCGTAAGTGTGGGCCTGCAGCTGACCCTCCTCCCACCAGCTCTGCGTCCAACCAAGCCAACACATGCCTTAGTCACACACTCCAGCAAATTGACAATAGTCTCTCCCGGCTCTCAGAAGGTTTGTGTTCATCGCAAACTTTGGAAAAAACTAGCCAGCAGCCGCAGCAGCCCCCATGTACAAGTGCTCCTAGTTCTGTTATCCAACCGCCATCGCAGTTCCCGCCATTCCCAACGGCAGACAACATGCTTTCTGGGGAACCAAACTTCACCAACTGTTGTGACGATATTCTCGATTTTCAGTGTTTGAATTTCGAAGGGTACTACCCACCGCAAAATATTCTCCCATCTCCTCCGTCTGATCTTTGTTCTTTAGATCCACCTACGGATCCCTTTAGCAGCCCACTTTCACATAGCCCCACAGAGGCCTGGACAACAGAGACGCCATATTTAGGACCGCCAAGTCCGAGTAATAACTTTGCCAGTGAAGATTTTTTCCCCGGACTCATCCCATCTTCCAAAAGTGAAACTGTTCCAATTGATTGTGAAGCAAAAGACAACGCTAAAGACAAGCTTCCAATCAATACAGGGTTTAATTTCACAGCACCCAGCAGTGCAGATATGATTGTGAAAGACAGGATTATTACAAAAACTCCAATAGTGCGGTCGCTTTCAAAGGAAGAACCAAAAGCACAGCCATTTTCTGTTGTGAATAAACCACGTCTACTCCCACAGTCATCTGCAATTTCACAAAGTCCTGTAAATTTGTCCCAATCTGCTTTGAATCTGAAACCCATTACGAGCCAATCCAAACTCCATACTAGTAGCAGTAGTACTAGTAGCAGCAGCAGTATTAGTGGTAGTGGTGGTGGTAGTAGTAGTAATAATAATAATAATAGTAGTCTTAAGAACCAAGGAACTTTTCATCGCCCAAGCATTCCCAGCAAGTCCTCTCAATCTTTTTCATCAAGTCACGTCAATACAGTTAAAGAACAGACTACGATACCCAAAATACAGAATTCACCTATCGCCAATAAGCTGCTCTCACCACAGTTGTTTAGCTTGAAAAACGCAAACTCTTCACACACAAACTCTTCAGACAATAGTTTTAACTTTCATGAAAAGACATCTTCCGTTATTCAAAGGGTGCTTAAGTTCCAAGGGGGTAGCTCTACACAGGACTTGTATAGCAGTGCTCCACCGAGAGAGCCGTCATCTTCCAGCTCAAAAGTTCATTTAAAATCAAACGAAAAAAGCCAGCAACATAAAATTTCAACTAGCAGCCATCATAAAACTAGTTCTACCCAAGCGTACGCAACCTCAAAAGACGCTTCTTCGCATAGCGCTTCCTCTTCCAGTCGATCCAATGCACAGTTCCCCAAGCCTAGTACATCTTTCCCAATGCCCAAAACAAAAACTCCAGTGGAAAAACAAGAGAGCTTTGAAGCTAACTTGTACAAAAACTTCTCAGCGCTCCCTAGACCTTTTTTCTTCCCAAGCAAGATGACTGAAAGCTACATGATGAGTCAACAGGAAAAGGCCATGAAGCAGGAAAAATCTGGAGCATCAAACACAGATAAACACCAACTCAATTTTACCCAGCAAGACCCATTTGACTTTAGCTTTGGTTCAACCCTTTCTTCGCCAATGCCTCAACACAGCAGCCCTCAAATCATTCAAAGCACTCCTCCAGGTACGCCGGTTCCTACAAGCAAAGGCCAAACATCATTGTCATTCCCATATGGATATCAAGCGTTACCCAATATTTTAAGTTTTACAGGAGACCATTCGCTAACTTTAGGTCTCCGAGATGGTCCAGAAGGCTATCCAGGACTTGGTGGCGCAAACTACACCTACCATTGTCTCATGGAACCTTCAGGAACCCAAGGGAGGCTAGTTTTGGAACCCTGCGGACCGCAAATAGCCAATCCAACTTCCTTTTCTTTGGGAGGGTTTGCTGGACTCAAATCACAAGAAGAACATTGCAGAAAAGATTTGCAACAGCAGTGTCAGCCCAATGAGCAACAACAGCATAGCTCCTCTCACTATGGGGCGGTCCCAAGTTCACACTCAATGGGGTCGAACAAGCCCAAACGAGTGAGGCTAGTGGTCACCGATGGGACCGTAGACCTGGACTTGCAGTATTCTGATTAAATAGGAATTAAGTTTATTTGTAACTTTATAAGCATTGCAATCTGGACATTTTATGATGACTACACACTGTTTTCAAACTAGAATTGTCTGGTGTTGGTGAGTTCTTCTCTCACTGTCTAAAGAAATGCCTATTTTAAATCAAGGATTTGATAGGTCTGTATGAGATGAAAATGAAAGCAAATAGTCCATAGTAACATGGTGGCTCCTAACCTCATGGCTGTAATTGGCTTCTACCTCTACAAAACTAAAACTGTAAAAATGCTTATTACTAATAATGTGGTGTAGTTATCATAATTTTTTGCCCCAATTAAAAATGCTTAAACTAATTACAATTGACAATTTTCTTATAGTGTACAAAGTATTCATGTTTTCACTAATGTTGTGGGACACTTTTTACAATTACAATTTACACACATAATAAATGTATAAAATACATTGAATATACTATTTGACAAGGGTTGAAATGCCCCCAAACTATTGTACTGTAATATACTTGTACATTGATTTTGTTTTTCTATACAATGTATGGCTGTAGAGACTTAGGCTTAAAAGGCAGTTTTGTGCCTATGTATTTGATAAATGTTCTTGTGATTTTTCAAGGCAACTATTTATCAGTGATTATTCCCTTTTGTAAATGGTCCTAGGGTGAGCTGTGCACGTGGAAGTCTCTTAAAGGGACAGTACAGTTTTTTTTTTTCCCCTTGTAGAAATATGATAATGGTGGGGGACTGGGGAACTCTCCAAGGTACTAGACTTACAAATTAGTTTTTTTATTGATATTTTGTACTATCCAGATACAGAGCAGACCAAGTCTATTAGTTTTTATTTTATTTTATTTTATATTTTATTATCAAAATTTATCTTAGTCCTATTTTTGTTGGGTATTTGCCCTCTAATCACACAAAATATATATATATATATATATGCTACTAGTGTCCCTCAAATTCTATGAGATTTGTAAATTTTACTGGCACGTCTGATAAAACTTTCTATAAACTAGTTAAAGGTAAAACTGTACTCTCCCTTTACATGCTCATGGTTTGGTCAAATGTTATGCTAAATTTAATTAAAATTAGCGAATGTTTCATAAATGAAAGGGTGCATGTGTAAGTTAATGTATAAAGTATACACATAGTTATATAAATATATATATATATATATGGTAGGTTAATTCAGTACTACATGTGAGTGTGGCGTTAGCTGCAGTGGATAAATGAATGGGAGCCAATGCAATATGTTTTTCTTCTCCAATTAAAGCGTCATCATGGGACATTTGACACACCCAATAGTTACACATTTTTATGTCAGAACGTGACAATCTCCGACTGAGTGGCCCTTGCTTATTTGTACATTTATCTAACAGTTTGTGAATATTATGGACTGAATTTGGGTTGTCATCACCTGGAAAGTTACTTCTTTTGGTGTTGTTGGAGTTACATTGTTTATATTGTATCTAGAGTTATATGTTGTGAGTTTTGCAGAAAAACAGCCTTGCTTCCCACATAAACTTGTACTGTCTTAAGATTATTTATTTGAATAATATTGTCATTTTCAAAATGGTGCTTTATTGTAATTTATATTTCACATTGATTGTGCATATATGACATCCTTGGTTTTGTATTTAATCGAATAGAACCTGAACTGCAGATTTGACGTACATATATTTAAGTTCACATACAACTGTCTCTCTGTTTATAAAAGCAAAACGTGTTATTATAAATTGGCAGTTACTGAGAATCTGCTGTAGAAATGTACAATTGTAGTCTATATCATTAAAGACATTTAATTCTTTTGGTAATTTCTCTGTTGTCTTTACTTTTCACAAGCCTTCCACAGCATTTATAAAGAACTTAAAAACAGAAACAGGGCCACCGACTTCCTGCTCAAAACTGCGGAAGTGAAGATTAATTTTTCAAGAAATCGCAAGTAATTACAGGGTTTATAATACAGGATTACTCAAACATGCATGAATCATTCAAAATATAATTTGAGTAAATTAATGATGAGGAGGAGCCATTATAACATGACATTGTTAGAAGCTAATTAAAGTCAATCTTGCGTAATATGTCTGTTAAGAATGGGACCAAAAATAGCATTGTTAATCAGCATTGTTTTCTTGTATGTATTGAATTCAATTGCCTATGCCACTAATTGATACTTGGCAGCAGATGTCAACGATCCCTGGAGGTGTGATGCTAACTGTAGGCACTCCTGGCTGAAGCTCTGGTACTCAGGTTAGACTTTAACCTGAGTTTTGTATTGCCACAATTTGACCAGAAAGAACTGAATTCCCTGGAACTACAACAAGTGAGTGTTTGTGTTTGTGCTTTTAAACAAGTATTTCTCAAATCAAATTACAGTCACAAGCTTAGTCCAGTTAGTCACTCTCAGCTTTTTGTTGAAAATTATGCCTGTATTTATCACAGGCTCCTGAAAATGTTTAAACCCTGAGAATTTTCAGAAGATCTTGAAACAGTTTTTGGCATCATGTCTCCATGGCAACAACAGAAACATTCCGCCATAGAAATACATGTAGAACATCCCCAGCCAGATGGAAAGTATCAATACAATCAGGCTCCGCAATATAGAAACTCAATAGCACTATAGCTTCCTTAGTTTTCTTTAAATCATATCAAACTATGTCTTATATGCATCTAAAAAGACCAGTTTATTCCTCTGTATCTGATGAAGCCAGAGTTCAACCATCACCTCTGTCTCACCTGCTCTCCTCATTCTGAACGATTCATGATTCTCTCTTATACATTGCCTCTGCTCTTCCACTGCGTTGCCTTTTCACCATCTGACCTACTTCTGTAGCTTTGTAGCTCCGAGAGGCAGTTGAGCGCTTAATTCTCATGCCAGCTATAACAGTTTTTCATAATGAGGAGAGAGAGAGGGGAAGATTAGACCGTTGCATTGTGGGAAGGGAGAAAAAATGCTTCTTGGAAATGCTTAGATACTGACTATGACAATGACAACGTAAGGAAATGTGCAGTGGTTCAAAACTGTCATATCAGATTCACACTGCAATGAATCCATGCTATACTGATTTCTATGGCAGTCAGTGACCTCATTGTTACTGAACTGTGGTGTAGCATTTGATCACTGAACGTAAAGATGTACCATGTAACTTTTCCAGTGGGTCATTATTGCTTTACCTAGAATGTTTAACAATATGGCATTAAACTTGGTCTATCTTGTACTAATTCAATTACAGGTGGTTTTATTGCTCAAAAATATCTTAAAAAAACATGCATTCTTACTGTGACCGGGCATGCCTCTTCACAGATCTTACCTGTATAGCTTAGCCTAATGATGCCATCTGTTTATGTTCATATGGACAGATAAATTTAATGCCTGTGCAACATTCCAGGGAGAGCAATAGACTAGCAGGTAGTGTCCCACCCTCTGGAAAGTTCCACAGTATAGCATTAAATATCTATCTTGTATTTATTCAATTAGATGTTTTTATCGCTCAAAAATGCCTTAAAAAACATGCATTCTTACTGTGAGCACTGGCATCTCTCCACAGATCTGACCTGTAACATTGCCTGGCAGTGTCACCACCTTGTCTCCTTGAAGATAGACGCACTTAATGCAATAGTGTGGAATATTCCAGGCAAAGCAACACCAGCACCTTTAAAGCCCATTTGAATCCATATGGTAAAGTATATATTGACTGCCTGTGCATAAAACATTAGCGATTCCTGTTCTTTTTCAGTGCTTTTCTCTTGTAAATCGCGTGGCTGGTCTGCGCTTGACTACAGTTCATAATTTATGGAGATGTCGTGTACATCATATTTCCATTAAAGTGTAACACGGCTCTGTGACTCCGTGCTGGTGGCCCCGGGGATTACTGTGTCACTGGAAATGAGCCACGCACCGACGTCGAGAAGAAGGAAAACAAAATGGCCAACTCTTTGTAACTTTATTAAATTTGCGCTATGTAGCTTTTTGGTTGGGGGTCCGTCACTGCTTGTTTCTATGGATATGTCATTGCTCTGGAATGTTCCACAGTATGACATTAAACAGCTCTACCTTACATTGATTCAATTATAGGTGGTTTTATAACTCAAAAATAAAAACATACATTCTGACTGTGAGCGGGGTTGCCTCTTCACAGATCTGCCCTGTAACTTGGTCTGTTTTGGTCGCTATAGTGATAGAAACATTTAATACCATACTGTGAAACATTACAGACAAAGCAATAACGTCTCCATAGAAAAAATAATTTTACCCTCCACCAGAAAAGTTACACATTGCACTTTTAAAATCACAATGTTTGGAGTGGCTGCTTATAGAGAAATGATTTTAAACATTTTAAACCTGGTAGCTGCACAATATACTGCAAAACAATTCTTCCGGCAATACCGACTTGCACATTTTTTTAAATTATGGTTAAAGAAGCATTATGTCACTTTTCTGGATTAGGGGCCACCACCTGAATTACCTGCCCATCTAAATCCATTTCTGTTTCCATGTAGACAAGCTGATGATGCTGCCAGGCCAAGTTACAGGTCAGGTCTGTGGAGAAGACTGCCCCCTCACAGTAAGAATTCATGATTTTTAAAGGGACAGAATTTTGGACCTAGGGCCTCATTTCCTAGTTAACCAGAGTGTTGGAGACGTGTGGGGACACTTTCTTAAATATTCCATCCAGTCCTTGTGTTTGCAGAGGTCACTGGTGCCAGGCTAGTGCATGTCAACGGCCATAGTTTTCCTGCCATTAAAAACAGTGTTACCCACTCCACAAAACACCTGAAGCAAAACTATTATTACGACAGACTTTCCATGTGAATGTCTGTGCTGATGGAATAAGGTTTCAAATAAAACTAACCTTGCATCGCATGAATCGTGGCACGTTGAGGGACTATTTTCTCATATATCAGTCCGCCGCTGCCAAGCTTTCTATCAGGAAGTACATCTTGTTGCTGCTGCTCAGACATAAATCCTTCAAATGCAAGGTTGGTGTCTCCACACATTTCCAACACTCTGGCTCACTAGGAAATAAGGCCCTATGTCCAAAATTCCAAACTGTCTCTTTAAGGTACTTTTGAGCAATAAAATCACCTGGAATTTAATAAATACAAGAAATACATGTTTAATGCCATACTGTGGAACATCCCAGTCAAAGAAATAGGATCTCCATAGGGCAGATCCACCACAAGAATATGATATGATTTTGTAACGTGTCTGGTGGAGGGTCCGTCACTTGCTTGTCTCCATGGAGATGTGTCTAGAATGTTCAGTATGGCCATGACCCTACAAATCTTCATGGAGACGTGCAAGCCAAATTTACACTTTAGGTTTGAGGAGAGGCGACCCCATTCACAGAGAGAATGGATATATCTTAAGATATTTTTGAGCACTTGTAGTTGGATAAACACGACTAGTCTAAAACCATACTGTGGACAATTTAAACTAAAGCATTAACATCTCCATGGAGACAGTTTGAAAACACTCTCCAGAAAAGTTCCACAGTGCACTTTTAAGTACTGGTAGCACGTGTCTTTGAAGCTTTGAACACTGAGCTACAGCTGCTAAAGCCACAGATGTTATTTATAGATGTGCTTGTTTATTGGTGCATGTGGAAATTGTTTCAGAAATAGAGAGCAGTTATGGCCATGATGACACACAACATGATATACAGCTATAGTGAGTGGAGCAGACAGTCCGCCGCACTGAAGCATACATTTAAACACTTTTCACACCACTAACCCAGAAGATGTTTTGATTTCTTCTGCATATAAGAAGAAACCATCCTTCAGCATTTCCACAGAGCTGGAACCTGTCAGCAACAATGACAAGTGAGACAAGAGAGAAAACCTGCACATTCAAGGCTGCAATCACTTCATTTTTTTTCTAAACCAACAATACAACAATACAATGCAATATAACAAGAGATCAATAGAAAACAGTCATCCATTTCAGCTTTAGGCTTTATGCTTTATTTATTCCTCCAGCTCTTCCAGGGGGATTCGGAGGCGTTCCGAGGCGAGCTGAGAGTCATTCTCCCTCTGGTGGGTCCTGGGTCTTCTCCGGGGCCTCCTACAAGTGGGACATGAACCCCTCTCTATGGTGGCTCCAAGAGACATCCGGAACAGATGCCCTCCCTTGAGCTATACCTCTCCACGTTGAGGAGCAGCAGCTCTACTCCGAGATCCTCCCGTGTGAATGCGCTCCTCGCCCTATCTGTAAGGGAGCGCCCGGAACCTCATTTCAGCTGCTTGTATCAGCAATCGTGTCCTTTCAGTCATTACCCAAAACAATGTCAACAAAGGCAAGTGAAAATTATGCTTAACCTGTACAATGTTCCACAACATGGCATTAAACTTGTCAATCATGAAGAAAAGAATGTGCCATACCACCAGAAATGTTACATAGTGCAATTTTAACCATAGACTTGACGTGCATTTGTTAACATTGTCTTACTCTGATTGGTCCCTTGTTATCCCTTTCCATCACTGAATTACCTGCATGTTTATATTATCCTAGTTAAATAAAGGCCAGTTAATTAAAAAAAAGAAAAAGAAACTGAGAAATTCAAAAGCCCAAAACAAGGCCTACCAAATTTGCCTATTCACTGCAATTAATATATTCAGTGACTTCTTGCCTCCAGCTCCCCTCCTTTCAACATCCTGCTTACGTGACATAAAAAACCCCACTTTGAAGCCATTTTAGCATTTATAGCATTTTCACCGTTACATCTTGTATTATTTTAGCATTATTCTGCACACATACCTTTGCAAATTTTATTCAGGTACCTGTTAAAACAAGTCCCAGTCTGTCTTTAACAAA